CGGACTTCGTACATACTCGTATGGCTTTCTTTTGTAACATTATTAGTTTATGTAAATGGCTCGAATATGTGTTACCCCATATTGAGTTACAATACGACAAGTGTGACAAAACATAAGCATTATAAAGAAGAAATAATATGTTACTAGGCAATTCATACTTCAATCGACTTAAAATCCCTATGAATCGTGAAATCTTCAAGCGTACTAAATCAATGTGATCCTTCCAAGACAAACTACTATTTAATACTACACCTAAAAACTTAACAGAATCATAGAATTTCAAAGGAACTGCATCTATTTTCAACAATATATCATCGACATTAAATTGCACACCACCCTTTTTAAACAGAACACATTGGGTTTTACTAGTATTTAAAGAGAGCTTATTACATTTAAACCATGCTGATATGTGGGCAAGACTTGTATTCAAAGATTCAACTAAAGCTTCAATATCATTATGAGAGGCAAGGAGTGAGGTGTCATCCGCATACAAAATACAGTCACATTCATGGCAAGAATTCACAATATCATTAATATAAATTAAAAATAGTAATGGTCCAAGAATTGACCCTTGAGGGACACCTGTGTTTATATTACCGAAAGACGAATTATGTGAGTTATAAACTGTAAATTGTTGTCGATGTAATAAATAAGATTGAAACCATTTTAAGGAAAGACCTTTAATGCCATAATGCTGCATTTTTTGTAATAAAATATCGTGTGAAAGGGAGTCAAAGGCCTTGGATAGGTCCATGAATACGCCAATAACACTTTTACCTTCATTAAGTTCTTTAACTATTCTATCATGAATTTCAATGACTGCCATGTCTGTTGAGTAATTTTGTCGGAAGCCATACTGACTATCATATAAAAAGTTATGCTGCAATAAATAGTCATATAATCTATTAAAAACTAACTTTTCCAAAATTTTAGAAAAACAAGGTAAAATTGAAATTGGTCGATAATTTGTAAAAAGACTCGGGTCATCCTTTTTAAAAATTGGCACAACCTTAGATATCTTCATCTTAGAAGGAACACAACCAGTGCGTAATGATGAATTACAAATATAAAGTAGTGGTTCAACAATAAAAGGTAGTATATGTTTCACAACTATTGAATCAATTTCATCAAAACCACAACTTTTACCAGATTTAAGATTTGACTTTACAATATCTATTATTTCTTCTTTTGTAACTGGTTTAAAAAATAATATATGTGGCGATGGTTGGCCCATATAAACATTAAATGTATCAATTGCATTTTCATCCTCCGCAATACAATTAGCAATATTTGATCCAATGTTCACAAAATATTCATTAAAGTTTCCCGCAATGTCATCCGGATTACTAATGTAAGAACCATTGTGGCAAAAAGATTTTCCTTCTTCCACAGCACTCTTTTGCTTTCCTAAAATTTCATTAATAAGTGTCCATGTTTTTTTAGAGTTATTTTTTACAGAGTCAAACTTTTTAAAATAATAATCCCTTTTTGCTCTGCGTAAACGAGTTGTGACCATATTACGGAGCTTTTTGTATTTATCATAGTTTGCTTGAATCGATCTTTTCAAGTAATTCTTATACAATTTATTTTTCGTTTTAATAAGTTTTAACATATCAAGAGATACCCACGGTTTTCTATTTCGTTTGCGTTTTTTAATATGTTTAGTTTGTACAAGAAAATGTTCATTATAATAGCCAATAAACTTTTCATAAAATACATCATAGGCCCTTTCAGTATCATTCTCCTGGTATACTTCAGACCAATCAGCATTTGCAAGATCAACACTCAGCCTATTACAATTTTCAATAGTGACTTTTCTAAATGAGAATGACTTTGATTTACTGTTATTTACCCTGTCTAAAAAGTGTGAAATATAGAAAATAGGAAAGTGGTCTGTTATGTCTGTTACAAAAATACCGGAAATAATGGAGCTACAAAAGACGTTCGTATAAATATTATCAATATTTGTTGCTGACCTTGAATTAACACGGGTTGGTCTATTTATTATAGGATAAAAACCAGATGATGCGACTGTATTGATAAAATCGAATATTTGCGAGTTTGTGTATTTCTTCATCAAATCAATATTCAAGTCGCCCATTAAATATGCACGTTTATTTTTTATTTCATTATAATTCATTAATTTATCAAAGAAAGAAGAAAACTGAATAACGTTTGATTTAGGTTGACGATAAATAATCGCTACAACAATATTTTTAGATGTTTTGCAATCTATTTCTATACATAAACAATCAACACCTTCGCATTGTTCAGAGAACTGGACAAGTTTATAATTCAAGTCCTTTCGAATAAATAGACCAACTCCACCACCACGTCCGGACGGACGGTCAACATGCACAAAATAATGTATAACCTTCTATTACAAAAGGAACATGTGAATTGGAATTAATCCATGTCTCTGATATTCCTATGACTGAGAATTGATATTGAAGATTAGAAAGATAGGCATGTATTTCTTCAAAATTACGAAACATACTTCGGGCATTAAAATGAATTATGCTAAAGTTTTGATTAACTGAATTATCTATAATTTCATTAAATTCAGATGATAAATAATACTTTACAGGAGGATTTGAATGTGTGTCTTCTTCATTTTCATTCAAACTTTCATCTTCAAAATTAAAGCCATTTAGAGAGACATCATATTGATTTACAGGTGAGAATAATCGTTCAAAATCTTCATTATTAACTTCTTGAAAGGGGAGACAATTTACAAAATTTAAATCATCTATATTTGAGTTTAATTCGTTGGCAATGCAACTGTATACATTAAAGTCAGATGTATCACAGTATTTAACGGGCATGCAAAACTAACTAAAACTAAAATAAATAACAAAGAAAAAACCAAACAACAGAACAACAAATACAACAAAATCAAAGTTCAACGTCAAAGTAGAAATGTTCAGGAGTGGAATGTATCAGCATGATACATGTGATCACTCAGTACTGCTATAACTTGTCCAAATCACGTTTGCTGTGGATAGTTCGTTTTACTGTCTTTCCGTTCGTGGCTGGGAGTAGGACGATTATCCGTCCGTCGAAGGACCACGCCTCGTTTACTCTGTGGTGCTTTTTTGCTGCCCACAGGAGGTCCTGGTTTGTGGACGTGAGCGCTTCATCGATGGCCATGCCTGTGCCCTTCAGCTTCCTACGTGCACGCAGGACAGCGCTCCGTACACGATATGAGCAAAACTTTGCAATGATGGCGCGAGGTCTTTTGTTCTTGGGGTTGGCGTCTGCAGACCCGGCATCGTTTGCGATTCCGCCCCTCGGAGCGACGCGATGTGAACGATCTATGTCGACTGCTGTTAGGTTGACGCCCAGTCGTTCACTCGCTAGTTGGCAGATGACGTCATCTGTGATTTCCGTGTTGCTCTCTTTCACGCCGTAAAACTTCAGACAATTGCGGCGAGAGTATTGATCAGCCTCATTCATCGCCAGTGTAAGGTTGTGAATTGAGGTTGACTGCTTCTCAAAATTCCAACTACATTTGAAAGACAATACTAATTTAGAACTTCCCTAAAAAAAAAGGGGGGGGGGGCTTAAAAATGTCTTTAAGTGGGAAAATAACGACTATTAGTTGTCAAATCGACTTAGGAGTTATAGAGCCAGTAAGTAATAGTCTGATTTTCAGACCATTTGGTCGTACGTTTTATGCTGCGCAAATATTTAATCAGTTTAATTTTGGCCATTACAAGAAGTGGGCTATTGATGTAGACAAATGCATATGTACCCTTTACAGCTCATTTTATGTATGTTATTACCAAAGATGAAAAAAAAGGCCAGTCAGTCACTCAATAGTGTCTGACAGTGAAGTCTAGCAAGTAAACAGGTTTCCTTGCATAATTTGAATATTAGGACATTGCTAATGTTTAAATTTCACAGATAGGACATACATGACATATTCATAATTCCTGCAAAGTTCTACATAATTTGAAGTTGGCTGCAAAAGGGACATAGTATCTTTAGCACTTTCTCTACCTTCAACAGTCTCGAATCTCTCTCTTTAGATAATATAGAAATATCTCTGTCCTATAATCTCTCCTAATCTTCTACTGATCGCTTTTTCTGTAGTTCGATATTTCCTCCCTCCCTAGCTTCCCCTCTTTCTCTCTCTTAAGATAATTTATACATTTTCTGTATTTTCTCTTATGTATCTTCTTCTAATGTTCTGCTGATCCCTCTATCTCTAGTGCGATATCCGATTCCTCCTTAGATAATCTAGAATCTAGAAACCCTCTGTTCCCCTCTAATATCTCCTTCTAGTGTTCTGCTGAATCCCCTTTCTCTAGCCCGATATCTCCCCCCCCCCCCCCATCCTCTCTCTCTTTCTCTCTCTCTCTCTCTTCAGATAATTTATCAATTTTTCTGCACGTGTTCTTATCCTCTAATATCTCATTTAAATCTTCTGCTGATCCCTCTTTCTCTAGTTCGATCTCTTTCTCTCTCTTTCTCACTATCTCTTAACATTTATCGAAATACTTCAGGCAGTCACATCTCCAGTGAAATAGTAACTACAAAATCTCCATACACACATCATTACTCAAATATGAGAATTGGTACAATTATAAACAAAACAACCAAGATCATGTCATTAATTTTGTCTAAAGCAGCGTTTTAATCCACCTTAATGTACAACCTTCCAGGACAGGTATTTTCTTAAAGGCTAAACTGATCACATGCTGTTCTTCAAATTGGCAACAATTATACATGTACTTATATTCCATTGCTACAGTGTTCTCATAAAAAGTAATGTCTATGAAAACAATAATAAGAAAAGATTTAGAACCTCTCAATGTTTTGGCAATTTAAGCATTTTACAGCTTACTTCTTTTCTAGAAAACATGATACTAATAATAACAATAATTATTATTAATATCATAGTGATAATTATAATGATTATAATAATGATAATAATCATACAGGTAATTTTCATGATTATTATTAAAATGATAGTAAGTTAGTAACTGTTTAACAATAGCAATAGTAATAATATTAATAATACTTATAATAGTGGGTTATAGTGCTTATGTCTGTCTGACTCAATCCAAATACTCAAACATTATTACACTTGCTTTAGCATGGCTGCCATTAATGAACAATTGCATTTCAAAGAATTTGGGTCGTGTGTATTAAAAATTAGATTAATGTCTTGACAAAGAACATACATAAAACGGCAGGACTCGAGCTGAAAACCATGTGATCTACAGTCCAGTGACATATCCACAAGACCACCACAACTCCAACCAAAACAAAAAAGAACAAGTAAATATAAGGTTGGCAATCTTGACATAGGGTACCTGTAGGTGATAAAAATCAAGCACACAAAATTAGCACCATTTCATTATTAACTATTCAATATTGCAAGCTACATTTGATTTTCAGTGTCTGTACAACCTGTGTGGCTTCTTATATGCCTACAAGAAAGGAGTTACTGCTGAACCCTCTGTTACAACTTACAAACGAATCATTTATGAGGCATTTCTCCTATGTGACTTTTCATATGCAATAGCAGGCTCTTCTCATAGAAAAACCCCTTGTTACAAACGTTACATCATTAGGACTTTTCCATATTAGTTTCTTTGGTGTGTATCGTTTTATGTCTTAAAAGAGATCTTCTTTGGGAAAATGCTTTGTTACAAATCAAACATACATGAGGCTTTTCTCCACTGTGAGTTGACATATGCTTTGTATGGGTACTCTTTTCCCGAAAGCTTTTGTCACAGATGGAGCATGGAAAGGGTTTTTCTCCCGTATGGATCCTCATGTGTCGTTTGCAATAACTTTTACTAGTGAACCTTTTCTCACAAATGGAACAAAAATATGGCTTTTCTCCTGTGTGAACTTTCTGATGTTCTGTCAGTTGAAACCGTTCGGAAAAGCTTTTGCCACAGACGGGACACAAATATGGCTTTTCTCCTGCGTGAACTTTCTGATGTTGTGTCAGAAAATCCCGCTCGGAAAAGGTTTTGCTACATATGGAACACTGGAAGGGCCTTTCACCTGTGTGGATTTTTATGTGCCTTGAAAGGTGATGGGTGTGGGAAAAAGTTTTTTTACAAAAAGAACACTCGTAAGGCCTTTCTCCTGTGTGGGATCTCATGTGCCTTGAAAGGTGACCGCTGGTGGAAAGTGATTTTTGACAAAAAGAACACTTGTAAGGCATTTCTCCTGGATAGGATCCTGTATGGGATCTTATATGTCTTGAGAACTCATCAACACGACTAAATCTCAAATCACAGACCATACACTGATGTGGCTTCTTGCTAGGGGCCTTTTCTCTTCCATGACTTTCCATGTGCCTAGACAACCTAGACTTGATGTAAAAACCTTTGCTACAAACACGACAGAGAAAGCGTTTTTCTTCAGTTAGGCTGCAGTTAGGATCATTTTGATCGCTTCCTGTTGCACAAAGTTGGGAAGACTGATTGATCATCTCATCATATTCCATCATGATGTCTTCATTCCTATCTATATCTATTCCTTCAGGTTTATGATTTGATGTGGTAGCATCCAGTGCCTCTCTGTCAGCTGCTTGTTTTTCATGAAAACAAGCCACTTGGCTTGGTATGAGATAAGAGTCATTCTCACTTGTGCAACTCTCTCTTTCAGATGAATCGGATTGAGTTCCTAAGTAATCTTGTAATGGGAAATCCTCTGGAAGATGTCTTGCACCGTCACATGATCTATCACCTGACATTTCCTGACTGTTTCTCATACTTTGATAGGAGCTCTGCAAACTTGAATCCCCACCTGAGCACAAAGAGTGGGATGAAATATGTATCTTTGATTTGAAATGGGAACCTTCTCAAGTAAGCTACCTGTACATGCAGACAACTACAACAGGGTACTGTTGTTTACCTTTCATTTAATTCAAAAGTATACATTCAAATGTAAACATTGAGAACAATTTCATGGAAAAAAGGGTACCTGAGATATGTTTCTATCACAGTCACATACCCCAAAACACATACATGTATTATATACTGTGCTCCTATTACCTCAAGAATGTTTATCATTTCTGTTCACAAGTATAGTATCAAAGTCATGACCAAAGTATGAGATAAGCTTAAGAGTGCATCACAAAACTGTATCTTATCTACACTCATTGAGGCAAGTAGGAAAAATGAACATTGTTTCTCACAGCTACATTACCCACAAAACAGTGCCATTTGCAGCTGGCCTTTCATTTACACATCAGGTGGATATCAATTTACGGCAACTTAACATTTCATGTGGGCAAGGGGCTTCGGAGTGTAAACTTATCTAAAATTCATATCTAAAATTTGAAATACTGATTCCCAAATGTGGGACTTTCAAGAGTTCTGTGGAATTCTCATACTCATACACACCTTACTGTGGCAAATTTCATCCCTCCTGCTACATGGGGGAGAAAAAAAACTCTCACTTTCATTAACCAGTGTAGTTTTTCATATTTCCTTTAAGTGAACCACTTTGGCGAAAACTTTAGCAACACACTGATCACCCATACAGCTTTTTCACTGGTAATTAATTAATAACATAATCATTTTGGCAGAAGATAAAAACCTTATGAAGAGCACAGGTGTTGGGGATATTAAATCAATCATATTCTACAGAGTTCTGTGCATATCTCAGGAAATAATGTGAACATTACTGGAGCTAATCTCAATGCTCCTCCTACAAAGGCAAGAAAATGCCCCCTTGCATACTTAAACCCATTGCCAACAGGAACTAGTTGGATGAACCCATTGCCTGCAAGAACTGGATGGATGAACCTATTGCCTACAGGAACTGGATGGATGAACCTATTGCCTACAGGAACTAGATGGATGAACCTATTGCCTACAGGAACTGGGTGGATGAACCAATTGCCTACAGGAACTGGGTGGATGAACCAATCGCCAGCAGGAATCGGGTGGATCCACACTTTTTTCGTTATATTTAACGGGTTTGAAGAGTATTTTTCATCACCATTCTCTCTCTTATCATGTTTATGCTGATGATATTCAAATATATACTTCTTTCAAACCCAATCAGAGCAATGCAGCCAGCGCTATCCATAACATTGAGACTTGTGTACAAGATGTTCATAATTGGTTAAACTCACATTCACTGAAATTAAATCTCGCCAAATGCGAATTTATAATGTATGGTTCTGAGACTCAGTTAGAGAAGATTTCTTTCATCACTTCAATTACTCTTGCTGGACATGAAATTACCCTATCTAATGTATGTCGCAACCTTGGTGTGTTTCTCGACCCAAACATGAAAATGTCTACTTAAATTCAATATGTCTCAAAATCAGTACGTTATCAGTTATGCAATTTGGGTTTTATTCGTAAATATCTTAACCGTGGTGCCACTGAGAAAATTACTCATGCTTTGATTTCTTCTCGCTTGGATTTTGGTAATGGCCTTTTGTTTAGTTCGCCTCACATCCTACTCGCAAAATTACAAAGATTACAGAATGCTGCTGCTCGTGTCGTGACCCTGTCCAACAAGTACAGTCACATCACACCAGTCCTCAAATCACTCCATTGGTTGCCCGTAGAAAAACGTGTTGTTTTCAAGATTATTTTGCTATTATTTCACTGTATACATGGCTCTGCTCCGCAGTATAACATCGGCTTGATTAAGCATTACTTTCCTTCTAGACAAATACGTTCTCAAAACTCTGGCTTACTTGTTACTCCTAGGGTTAAAACAAAGTGGGGGGAGCGAACCTTCGCTCATGCTGGGCCTTCGTTATGGAATACTCTCCCTCAATGGGTTAAGAATAGCAGTTCTGCTGAAGTGTTAAAAAACAATCTTAAGAAATATCTGTTTAATTTAGCTTATAATTGATCACCATTACCTTTCATGTCTGTACCTTTCCTATCGCACTTTGTATAAATGTATCATGTACGTATTTCATCTTTTGCACAAGCTGCGCCTTGAGCATTTGACTGTCAAGTGGATTTGGCGCCTTATAAATCATATGTATTATTATTATTATTAAAGTCTATGGGCTCGAGAGAATGCAGTAATCAAATGTCAAGTGTGGGTTTTCATATGCTTAGTACAGGTACTCTTTTCCCTAAAAATTTTGTTACAGACGAAGCACGGAAAGGGTTTTTCTCCCGTATGGATCCTCATGTGTCGTTTGCAAGTACTGCTGCTAGTGAACCTTTTCTCACAAACAAAACAAAAATGTGGCTTTTCTCCTGTGTGAACTTTCTGATGTTCTGTCAGATAACCCCATTCGGAAAAGGTTTTGGTACATACAGAACACTCAAATGGCCTTTCACCCGTGTGGCTTCTTATATGCCTTACAAGAAAAGAGTTACTGCTGAACCCACTGTTACAAACCAATCGTTTATGAGGCATTTCTCCTATGTAACCCATCTTTCACAACATTCACATATACATGTAGGTAGATGCACCCCCTCCCCCCCTGTCTTTGATATTTTTCTCCCTCTTCTTTCTCCTGTATTGGTACTACCTCATCATTTTACCTTATATTTACTTTTAAGTTTTAATTGTATAATTTTTTTTTGTATTACTGGGGGTAGTTCTTGACAAATCATTTTTGATTTTTGACTTCCTCTTCCACATTTGCTGAATTTTTTCTTTTTAAAACATACATTGCTCCAACTGGAGTCATTTTATATATAATGTACATGTTCTATTATTGTATTGTATGTATGTATTTCATTTTATGTAGCTCCCTAAGTTTTGCATTTGTGGAGAAATAAATTGAACTTGAACATATGCAATAGCAGGCTCTTCTCATAGCAAAACCCCTTGTTACAAACGTTACATCATTAGGACTTTTCCATATAAAGTTTCTTTGGTGTGTATCGTTTTATGTCTTAAAAGAGTTCTTCTTTGGGAAAATGCTTTGTTACAAATCAAACATACATAATACTTTTCTCCACTGTGAGTTGTCATATGCTTTGTAGTGGTACTCTTTTCTCGAAAGCTTTTGTCACAGATGGAGCATGGAAAGGTTTTTTTCTCCCGTATGGATCTTCATGTGTCGTTTGCAATAACTGTTACTAGTGAACCTTTTCTCACAAATGGAACAAAAATATGGCTTTTCTCCTGTGTGAATTCTCATATGATCTGTAATGGTACTCTTTTCTCGAAAGCTTTTGTCACAGACAGGACACAAATATGGCTTTTCATCTGAGTGAATTTTCTGATGATCTGTCAGATAACCCCGTTCGGAAAAGGTTTTGCTACATACTGAACACTTGAAGGGCTTTTCACCTGTGTGGATTTTTATGTGCCTTGAAAGGTGATGGGTTTGGGAAAATGTTTTTTTACAAAAAGAACACTCGTAAGGCCTTTCTCCTGTGTGGGATCTTTTGTGCCTTGAAAGGTGACCGCTGGAGGAAAATGATTTTTGACAAAAAGAACACTTGTAAGGCATTTCTCCTGTATAGGATCCTGTATGGGATCTTATATGTCTTAAGAACTCATCAACACGACTAAATCTCAAATCACAGACCATACACTGATGTGACTTCTTGCTTGGGGCCTTTTCTATTCCATGGATTTCCATGTGCCTAGACAACCTACACTTGAAGTAAAAACCCTTGCTACAAACATGACAAAGAAAGCGTTTTTCTTCAGTTAGGCTGCAGCTAGGATCATTTTGATCGCTTCCTGTTGCATGAAGCTGGGAAGACTGATTGTTCATCTCATTATATTCCATCGTGATGTCTGCATTCCTATCTATATCCATTCTTCCAGGTTCATGAGATGACGTGGTAGCATCCGGTGTCTCTCTGTCAGCTGCCCGTTTTTCATGAAAATAAGCCACTTGGCTTGGTATGAGATAAGAGTCATTCTCACTTGTGCAACTCTCTCTTTCAGATGAATCAGATTGAGTTCCTAAGTAATCTTGTAACGGGAAATCCTCTGGAAGATGTCTTGCGCCATCACGTGATCTATCACCTGACATTTCCTGAGTGTTTCTCATAATTTGATAGGAGCTCTGCAAACTTGAATCCCCACCTGAGCACAAAGAGCAGGATGAAATATGTATCTTAGATTTTAAATGAAACCTTCTCAAGTAAGCTACCTGTACATGCAGACAACTACAACAGGGTACTGGTGTTCACCTTTTATTAAATTCAAAAGTATACATTCAATGTAAACATTGAGAACAATTTCATGGAAAAAATGGGTACCTGAGATGTGTTTCTATCACAGCCACATACCCCAAAACACATACAGGTATTATATACTGTGCTCCTATTAACTCAAGAATGTTAACCATTTCTGTTCACAAGTATAGTATCAAAGCCATGACCAAAGTATGAGATAAGCTTAAGAGTGCATCACAAAACTGTATCTTATCTACACTCAGTGAGGCAAGTAGGAAAAATGAACATTGTTTCTCACAGCTACATGTACACTGTATTATTGTTTACCCACAAAACATTGCCATTTGCAGCTGGCCTTTCATTTACACATCAGGTGCATATCAATTTACGGCAACTTAACATTTCATGTGGGCAAGGGGCTTCGGAGTGTAAACTTATCTAAAATTCCTATCTAAAATTTGAAATACTGATTCCCAAATGTGGGACTTTCAAAAGTTCTGTGGAATTCTCATACTCATACACACCTTACTGTGGCAAATTTCATCCCTCCTGCTACATGGGGGAACCAGTGTAGTTTTTTCAAATTTCCTATAAGTTAACGACTTTGACGAAAGCTTTAGCGAATTGGGTGGATGAACCCATTGCATACAAGAACTGGGTAGATGAACCCATTGCCTGCAGGAACTGGGTGGATGAACCCATTGCCTGCAGGAACTGGGTGAATGAACCCATTGCCTGCAGGAACTGGGTGAATGAACCCATTGCATACAAGAACTGGGTAGATGAACCTATTGCCTACAGGAACTGGATGGATGAACCCATTGCCTGCAGGAACTGGGTGGATGAACCCATTGCCTGCAGGAACTGGGTGAATGAACCCATTGCCTGCAGGAACTGGGTGAATGAACCCATTGCATACAAGAACTGGGTAGATGAACCTATTGCCTACAGGAACTGGGTGAATGAACCCTTTGCCTACAGGAACTGGATGGATGAACCCATTGCCTACAGGAACTGGGTGAATGAACCCTTTGCCTACAGGAACTGGATGGATGAACCCTTTGCCTACAGGAACTGGATGGATGAACCCATTGTCTACAGGGACTGAGTGGATGAACTAAGGCTGTGAATAACCGTGTAATGATTTAGAACCTCTCAATGTGTTGGCAATTTAAGCATTTTACAGCTTACTTTTCTAGAAAACATGATAATATTAATTACAATAATTATTATTATCATAGTGATAATTGTAATAATTATAATAATGATAATAATCATACAGGAAATGTTCATGATTATTACCAAAATAATAGTAACAATAACAATTATAGTCATAATATTAATAATACTTATAAAGGTGGGTTATAGTGCTAATGTCTGTCAGACTTGACAATCATAATGCTCAAATATTATTACGCTGGCTTTAGCATGGCTGCCATTAATGAACTATTGCGTTTCAAGGAATCTGGGTCGTGTGTATTAAAAGTGGAATTTATGTTCGTTATCGAACGCATACCTTCGCGAACAGCTGCATTATGTAATCTTTTGTTATATGCATTCTCGTTATTCGAGATTCGAGCTTACACGCTCATTCTCGGTTATGCAGTCAGAGCTCTGTTACCCTCCCATCCCAAAATAACTTCCCTTTTAAAACTATTACATATATCATATTAAAGAAGCAAATGCATAGCATTTATTTACGCCGATCATTATTTGTGTCATGATCATGATCGTCAAAACTTGTCGCCCTTTTATGCGACCACGCTATTTTTGTCGGTTTTTGCTGTTTGGTTTCTTTTTTATATCTTCCATTTGGCAGAAGAATGGAGCAAGCTGTCCTCGCCACTCCAGGATCCATCATTACAAGCCTTGGCACTCTATGATCTTCCTTCACTCCTGATGACTGCCAAGGCATCTTCAACCACCAAGCAATACCTTCATTCTTGGAAAAGATGGGAGGATTGGGCCACGTCTAAAAAAGGTGTGTCGGTTTTCCCGGTGCAATCCTTCCATTTATCTCTGTACATATCACATTTGGCTACAACCGGCATGAAGTCGCTTGCCGACTCTGCGACAGCAGCTATAAAGTGGGTCCACAACTTAGCAGGTCTGCATTCTCCTACCGATAACCCAATGGTCAAGCTCGCCCTGCAAGGTTTCAAACGCGCCACATCTTCACCGACACTAAGAAAGCATCCGATCACCCCGGATATTCTGATGAAGATCTACGAGAAATACGGGCATGACCATGCTTCTCTAGCAGATCTACGGGTTTTGTTTGCGTGCTTCATTTCTTATGCTGGTTTCTTGAGATTTGATGATCTGAAAAATATTTCCAATAACGACCTCACATTCACATCTGATCGTCTCGTCATTCATCTCGCGAGCTCAAAAACAGACCAATTTAGACAGGGGTCTGATGTCGTTATCGCTAGATCATTCAAGCAATCATGTCCAGTTCGTGTAGCTGAGAGATATCTTGCAGCCCTCCGAGATCCTCCGGGCTCGCTTCTACCTGTCCTTCGTAGACTATGCTCATCTACCAAAGGTTTAACTCCTACCGTTCACCCTCTCAGTTATACCCGTACCCGTGAAATAGTGCTAGACGCCATCAAGCCGTTTGTAACTGACATCTCAGCTTACGGTCTCCACAGCATGAGGTCAGGAGGGGCAACTGCAGCCTTAAACGCCAATGTCTCACCTTTTCTGATTTCGAGGCACGGACGATGGAAGTCGACAAAGGCCAGGAACGCTTATTTACAACCCGACGCCAAGTCTGACCTCATACCTTCACAGAGCCTCGGAATTTGAATCACTATTGTTCGTATTTGACTATCTAGCTCGTATATTCGTAGTATACTGCCAACAATTTCGCTATTTTACACGTATGTTTACATGACACCTACAAAACTCTTATCCAAAAATAATTGTAGGTGCACGGTTTTTTCATAAACAAGGAACAGGGAGTGCGCCCTCGTTCAGTTCCCTTGGTCGCAACCACGTTTCCTCCAAAAAATAACAAATACATTGGGGGTTGTTCGTGGCCTCCGTAAACTAGTGTCCAACACTAGCTAGGCACTGGACGCCTTGTTTTCCATTTTCGCTAGGTTTATCCTTAAAACTAAATACATAAATAAATAAATATAGATAAATCGCACGATTAGCTTCCACCTAACAAAATTGATGTATATATTTCGTGCGCATGTAATGCTTTCCGTAGGCGCCTAAATACAGCCTACCTGGTTCTACATATTTAAACGTGTCTCATGTTTACTGTCTATATTACACGTCGTGTTATTATCCATCAAATTGAAAGAAGAATTTGTAAAAAGAAGAAGTGTAAACAAAAATAAAGAAGAGTCAAGAGCCAGTACTGCTCCGTACCAATCTGTTCACCAATATCCTGTTTCATACTTGTCATTTATTTTGTATTAAGGTAGATATAGAATATAAATTAACTTTCTGACGGAACGTAAGTGGAGGAAGAAAATTAGATTGTCTTGCCAAAGAACATTCATGAAACGGCGGGACTTGAGCTGCAAAACCATATGATCTACAGTCCAGTGACATATCCACTAGACCACCACATCTCCACAATAACAAGTAAATATAAGGTTGGCAATCTTGACATAGGGTACCTGTAGGTGATACAAATCTAGCACACAAAATTAGCACCATTTTATAATTAACTATTCAATATTGCAAGCTACATTTGATTTTCTTAGTTAACCTTGCTAAATATCACTTTGGCATAATTTAGAAATCAATAGACCACTTTGGAAATAGATCATGAACAAATGTCCCCAATATATTGACAGATCTTTCAAACATGGAGAGGTTTGTAGAATATTTAGCTACTGCAAAAGGGATGGAGGTGCTACATGAATACATTTTGTTTGCCATCTTGAAAAGGAAACTTCCACCTGTGTATCATAGAATGTACTACATGTGGCTGTCAGTGCATAGATTACATATCGTCGGTGGGGTGACAAAACCTTGTTTCTCAAAAATCATGAATTTTCAGGAGAGTGAAAAAACCTTTCCTGTCTCAACAGATTTAGTGCTGTGACACCATCCTTTGTGTGGAATTTGTGAAAAAACCAAGACAGGAGGCGTTCCATGGATTTATCAGGTGGTGTCGTAGGCCATTAGGTACAAAATTATGCTAAAAAAATTGAGATACGAGGTTTTGTCACCCCAGCGACGATACATTCCACAAACATATCATGTATCCAGCATTCCTATTGATGGCTTTTACAGTTTTATTTTTACAAATTTATTTTAACAAATGACCTTCCTCTGCCTATGCACAGATACCATCTACAAAGTGGCTTACCGTACTCCTCCAAATATCAGAATATGGCCTTTCATTGGTACTCTTTTTTGCCCTTGTAACAATCAGTGTTGGACAGTATAATAGTAAGGCATTATTTAAATGACTCCTTAGAAACACTCGATGTTGAAATCCTTATATATATATAAGGGCAAAAAACTTCAGAAACGTAGACAAAATCTGATGGTGAACTTTCATTTGCACATGCTGCCCCAGTTTAATGTTTTAAAGTTTCAGTCTGACCTAAAAACACTTATATTCCAAATCCTAAACGGATAAAAGGAACTCAGTAACCTGTTTTTCTTTGCTTTCTGTGTAGCTTTTTTCTTACCAAGCGCACTATAGGGACATGCGTATGTAATGTGTTATGCGCTATACACGAATAGTGTATAAAGTATTATCATTAGTAGTTCGAGGACTGCCACCCATATAAAACAAACACTCATACGGCTTATCTCCTGCGTGGGACATGTACATGTATGTGCATTTTATGGATATATTCACAGGAAATCTTTTGTTTTAAATAGTAGGCTCACTTTGTTCCATAGGGTCTTCGTGTAGGGTTGTTGGGTTACACAAACTATTGTGAATAATCTATCCCTAAGTCCCGAAGAGTCGGGTGTAATGTTTGAGAAAGACACTCGTTTTATCGTTCCAGTTTACCAGGGGTTTTCTGAAAAACCTACAGCAAATCTTCGAAAAAATCTCATCTCGACCCAAAGCTTACGAGATAATATTCACAGGAGTTTGTCAAAAGGCTAGCAGTTGACACGTCTTCATTGTCTAATTGTACAGGCATATTTCCACTTATGGAGATGTAAAAAGATTTCCATATCTCAAGAACAATCTTGAAAAAAATTGATTATTAGTATTCAATTTAGTTGCCTTGTCATGATTATTTGGCATTTTTACACAAAAGTTTGTGTAACCCGACGTGATGCACCTGACCTTTCATGAATATGGGGGCATGTTTTCATGATAGTTCATGTAACCTGACAACCTGACCTGATACAAAGACCAGATGGAACCAAACAAGCCACAGACAGAACACCCATAGGGCTTTTCACCCGTGTGGCTTCTTATACGCCTTTAACAAGAAAGGAGTTACTGCTGAACCCTCTGTTATAAACCAATCCTTTATGAGGCATTTCTCCTATGTGGCTTTTCATATGCAATAGCAGGCTCTTCTCATAACAAAACCCATTGTTTCAAATGTTACATCATTAGGATTTTTCTATATTAGTTTCTTTGGTGTGTATCGTTTTATGTCTTAAAAGAGTTCTTCTTTGGGAAAATGCTTTGTTACAAATCAAACATACATGAGGCTTTTCTCCACTGTGAGTTGTCATATGCTTCGTATGGGTACTCTTTTCCCGAAAGCTTTTGTCACAGATGGAGCATGGAAAGGGTTTTTCTCCCGTATGGATCCTCATGTGTCGTTTGCAATAACTGTTACTAGTGAACCTTTTCTCACAAATGGAACAAACATATGACCTTTCCTCTGAGTGAACTTTCTGATGTTCTGTCAGATAACCCCGTTCGGAAAAGGTTTTGCCACAGACGGAACACTCGAAGGGCCTTTCTCCTGTGTGGATTTTTATGTGCCTTGAAAGGTGATGGGTTTGGGAAAATGTTTTTTTACAAAAAGAGCACTCGTAAGGCTTTTCTCCTGTGTGGACTTTTATGTGCCTTGAAAGGTGACCACTGGTGGAAAGTGATTTTTGACAAAAAGAACACTTGTAAGGCATTTCTCCTGTATAGGATCCTGTATGGGATCTGATATGTCTTGAGAACTCATCAACACGACTAAATTTCAAATCACAGACCATACACTGATGTGGCTTCTTGCTTGGGGCCTTTTCTCTTCCATGGATTATCATGTGCCTAGACAACCTAGACTTGAAGTAAAAACCTTTGCTACAAACATGACAGAGAAAGCGTTTTTCTTCAGTTAGGCTGCAGCTAGGATCATTTTGATTGCTTCCTGTTGCATGAAGCTGGGAAGACTGATTGATCATCTCATCATATTCCATTGTGATGTCTTCATTCCTATCTACATGTATATCCATTCCTCCAGGTTTATGCGATGACGTGGTAGCATCCGGTGTCTCTCTGTCAGCTGCTCGTTTTTCATGAAAATAAGCCACTTGGCTTGGTATGAGATAAGAGTCATTCTCACTTGTGTAACTCTCTCTTTCAGATGAATCGGATTGAGTTCCTAAGTAATCTTGTAATGGGAAATCCTCTGGAAGATGTCTTGCACCGTCACATGATCTATCACCTGACATTTCCTGAGTGTTTCTCATACTTTGATAGGAGCTCTGCAAACTTGAATCCCCACCTGAGCACAAAGAGCAGGATGAAATATGTATCTTTGATTTGAAATGGAAGCTTCTCAAGTAAGCTATCTGTACATGCAGACAACTATAACAGGGTATTGGTGTTCACTTTTTTTTTTTAATGGAAACATTTAACGTTCAAATGTAAACTTGATTTTGAAAACAATGGCGCCCTTTCAGACATGTTTCTATCACAGCCACATACCTAAAATGCATGTATGTAAACTGTGCTCCTATTACATGTACCTCAAGAAGGCTATTAAAGCCCCACTGCACTACATTCAGCTACTTGCACCCTCTATATACATGTACATGTAACACACAATGCCTAATCCGTGACCATTGGTCCCCTATGATCCTCTTTTTTGTATATGTTAAGTGAGAGCTGATGTGATGAGATAACCACCCGTCAGTGACCTTTCAGGGTCGTCTAATCCCTCCTGTAAACTATTACAGATGGGCTTTAAACCTTTCTGTGGAAACCTTTTTCCATACAGCCCTGTTCACAAGTATAGTATTATGTATGCGAGGGGGCAATTTCTTGCCTTTGTAGGAGGAGCAATGAGATTAGCCACAGCAATGTTATTCTCTGAGATACCAGGAAAACCCTTGAGAATATGATTGATTTAATATTCCCAACACCTGTGTTTTTCCTTAGTATTCTGCTAGTGCCAAAATAATTATGTTATCAATTGCCAGTTTTGGGGACCTTGAAGTTGTCAAACCTTAAAGGAGAATGAAACCCTTCACTCAGTTCATTGTAACCTATGTCATTATGTAGAGGACATTTAAAGGTGAATTCCATTCATATTGAATTAGGTATCGTTAGAAAGGTTATTTTCAGTTCTTCATTTTTGTTTTTAAGTTCATTGTCAATAAACATAAGGGGAAGGAGATATCATGGAATGAAGTTACGAGAATCAAGTTTTTCTGAGAGAATTTCGTCTACGATACCATTAGGAGATTTGAGCATGTGACGTCATTCCGTGGACTATTCACAACACGGTCACCGCGCGCATTCTATTCGCAATCAGATAGCACTGCAGTGTACATATCAGAGTGAAAGTATAGACGTTATATCGGGATATTAATCATCAGTAAAAATGACAGAAAACAGCTCAGATGAACTCGAAATGATCTTTGAGTATGATGAAGAAGAAGTTAGTAGCAGAGATGATGGTATATAAGTGAAGATGATAGTGAATTGGGCGAATTAAAGACGACGAAAATGTAACGCTGATCGAATCGTGATGCGGAAGTTCAAGCTGCCAGCTAGGCCTACTCCAGGAAGCTCCGACGCCGAGCTTCGCCGGTGCATAGAGAAACATTCAAACATGCAGCGGGTGGGGCGACATTAGTCTCAAAATATGCGAAGGGAGTAATTACAATTTTGACTTTACTAGGTTGCTCGACTTCTCTGAGCATCTGGCTGGCCAGTTGAAATTATAATTTGAAGAATTAGTCTTCGATGGGGAAAAGGGGGAGATTCTTCGTCCTACCCCGACGATTCTTCCCTGTTGTATATCGTCGATTCACCATGCATGGCGAAGAGAAAGTACTGCACTACCGCGCCGTCTCTTTGCCGAGTTTTTTTTTTTGATCAGCACTGAGACATTTCATCTAGACCAGTAGTAATTACAAGCCGAGTAATAATACTTAATTTGTTCGAATGACAGACGTTTCAGCTAATTTATAACCCGAGAAAAACAACTTTATCTCCAAAAAATGTTACGCTGCAATTTGCAGCTCAGCTCAGCTCAGCCGTTCGTAGTGCAGTGTTCACCCACTGCGGTGAACACTGCACTACGAACGGCTGAGCTGAGCTATCGCGAGTTCTCCCCGTGCCGCGAAATTCAAGTTACGCTAATTATCAAAACAAAACATAGGCGAAGCCGGTGTGTCAGGATCTGCAAGACGATCAATTTTACAGTACCAAACGTCAATATTTCAAGGAAACCAAACATCGGGAAGTAACCAATGCTTATATAATTGAAAGAATGTTTATTTCTTGATTGTAAATTCGATAAAACACTTCATTAAATATCACAAAAATTGCAAAATCTACTAACAAAATTACCCATGTTTGTGTACGTTTTTACATTGAAATAATACGTTGTACTTCCGGGTTTAGGAACAGTCCACGGAACTACGTCACATATACTACGTCACGAAGGAGAATATCAACGCTTCCTGGTTCCTCTGCTTACACTTTTGATCTTTCCAAGTCTAATAATAATTTAACAACACATGCAAATTTCTGTCAATCAATATATTTGTATTCCTTATGTCATAAGCATTGCAACAATAGCAAACATGCATATTTTCACTACTTTCTTCCAAATTCACCTTTAAACTCACATTTTCATACAACAATCAGGTTCGTAGGATATGTATACCGTATTCACTAACGTTCCCAAAATAAAAAGATGGTTAGCGTCTGCTATAAGTTCAGAAGGGAGCTGCCATTATGACGTATTTGCGCTGTACTCCGCCAGTACCATGGCCTTTACAGTGACCAATTTGCCAAAGTTGACTATGGGAGGATATATATATACCTGCAATTCGCAGGGCTTGGGACCAAGCCTCAAGCTATTCTCATTTCCTGAATGGTATACACCGGTTCGAATGCAAATAGCTGCTGACCATCCATAATAATTAGTAGTAATACACCACAAGTACAAAACAAACTTTGATTTCTATTTTTGTTTTTGATGATTGAAATAGATAACCTGGCTTTATCCCAGCTCAGCTGCCTTAAGAGGTGCTCAAAGCTTTCGTTGAAACTCCTACCAGGTACGGTACCCACTTACTACACCTAGGTGGAAAGTAGGAATGTCTTGCCAATTATACGACATTAATAACATGGGGGGGGGGGGACTCAAGCCATGTGATCCTCAGTCTGGTGAGACATACATGTGTGCCCATGACACCCCTACTCAAATTACATGTAGCTTTGTGTGAAAAAGATGTCTTTTTCACCTCTTCATTGATTTGGGATATTTTAGAGGTTTTTGATGCACTACATGCCTACCAGTACCCTTTTTTTGTTTCACTGTCTGTGTGTAACAAAGGGTTTACACAAAGAGTGAAATAAAACCACATCTTTTACCATCAACAGCCATAGTAGTGCACACGAGGACCCATACCATAGAAAAGCTGTATGGGTGTTCAGTGTGTCACAAAAGCTTTCGCCTAAGTGGTACACTTAAAGGACACATGACAAACATAACCACACTAGTTAATGAATGTGAGAGTTTATCTTCTCCCCCATGTAGCAAGAGTGATGGAATTTGCCACAGTAAGGCGTGTATGATTATGAGAAGTTGAGAACTCCACAGAACTCTTGAAAGTCCCACGCTGGGGAGTCAGTATTTCAACTTTTAGATATGAATTTTAGATAAGTTTACACTCTGAAGCCCCTTTCCCACATGAAATGTAAAGTTGACATAAATTGATATCCACCTGATTTGTACAATAATACAGTGTACATGTAGCTGTGAGAAACAATGTTCATTTTTCCTAATGGCCTCACTGAGCTAAGGTGGGGACAGTTTTTCGATGCACTCTTAAGCTTATCTCCAACTCTGGTCATGAATTTAATCCCATTGCCTACAGGAATTGGGTGGATTCTGTATTAGCCCGGGGGAGGGGGGGGGGGGGGCCTTTAGAAGCCCCCCCCTCGACATTTTTTGTGATAATTTTTTAACGCAAAAAAATCTTGCACTGAAATTTTGTGACTTTTTTCTTTCGAGTCTTGCCCATTTTTTGAAAGAAATTTTTCGAAAATCGGACCTACCATTAAAAAGTCACTTGCCTTTTGTCTTTGCATGTCAGCCCAAAAATCGCTCATTTTTGTGATATGTGTACAAAACATATGGAAATCTCATTTTTCAAATAAAGAGATAAATCATTGGTTATTTGGTCTTGTTTATAGTTTAGGTGTTTATTTTGGGGTCAAAATAGTTGAATTACAGTTGGAAATGAAATAAAACAACAACAAAAATAAATACATAAGTTAAAAAAACAAAGAAATACATAAGAAATTATCAAAACAATAGATAACATAAGGAATAACCTGGCTCTTCTAATTTTGTTGACTGTATTATTATCCCAAATGGTCTAAATAATATGTGTAGTGAAAATTAATGTTTAAATATGAAGAATATATGAGTTATGGATACAAATGTGAATGTTATTACCATATTTGCATAAATCACCATAATTATGCAAATGAGTGATTTTTTCAAAAAAATGAAATTACCATAGTATTCTATACACTTCACTTGACATGCATGCAAATTTTTGCAGCAATAGATCGTTTTAACGGCCGAGATCATAGGGGGGGGGGGGGGGCCTTAGAAGCCCCCCCCCCCCCCCCCCCCCCCCCCCCCCCCCCCCGGGCTATGCAGTTTCAAAATATGAAGTTCTAAATTAGTGTTAGCTTTCAAATGCCGTTGGAATTTAACCTTTTCATTTGTTTTGCCTGCAAATGCGACATAGTACCTTTAAACCTATTGCCTGCAGGAGAAAAGGTGGATGAACCCATTGCCTACAGGAACCGGGAGGATCCTGTATTAAGTCTATGGACATGAGAGAATTCAGTTATCAATTGTCAAGTGTGGGTTTTCATATGCTTCTTACGGGTACTTTTTTCCCTGAAGCTCTTGTCACAGACGGAGCAGGTAAAGGGTTTTTCTCCAGTGTGAATTGTCATATGATGTGTAAGAGAAGCATTGCGGGAAAAGCTTTTGCCACAGACGGGACACAAATATCACTTTTCTCCTGTGTGAGTTTTTTGATGATCTGTCAGATAATCCCGTTCGGAAAAGGTTTTGTTACATACAGAACATTTGAAGGGCCTTTCTCCTGTGTGGATTTTTAAGTGCATTGAAAGGTGACAGTTTTGGGAAAACGTTTTTTTTTAAAATAACACTCAAAAGGCTCTTTTCCTGTATGGGTACCTATGTGTCTTGAGAGTGTTTCAACACGACTAAAACTCACATCGCAGTTCTTACACTGATATGGCTCTTTGCCTGTATGGGTTCTCATATGCACACCCAGGCTAGAGTTCTGGCTATATTTCTTATCACAAAGCTTACACTGATGTGGCTTTTCGCCTGTATGGGTTCTCATGTGCTCTTGGAGACCATTACTCCAGGTATATTTCTTATTACAAAATTTACACTAAAATCTGTTTTTTCCCATATGAACTTTCATATGTAGGGCGAGATTACGACTTGCACGAAAGCCTTTGTCACAAACTGTACACCGATAAGGCTTTTCTCCCGTATGGATTCTCAGGTGTTCCTTTAGACTGTAAATGTACATAAATCTCATGGTGCAAAACATACACTCATGGGGCTTTTCTCCTCCATGGATTGTCATGTGTCTAGACAAACTAGACCTGACGGTAAATCCTTTGCTACAAACACAACAGAGAAAGGGTTTTTCTTTAGCTAGGCTGCAGCTAGGATCATTACGATCGCTTCCTGTTGCACGAAGCTGGGAAGACTGATTGATCGTCTCATCAAATTCCATCGTGATGTCTTCATTCCTATTTTTATCCATTCCTCCATGTTTATGATATGATGTGGTAGCATCCGGTGTCTCTCCGTCAGCTGCTTGTTTTTCATGCAAATAAGCCACTTGGCTTGGTATGAGACAAGAGTCATACTCACTTGGGCAACTCTCTCTTTCAGATGAATCAGATTGAGTTTCTCTGCCAGCTTCTAATGGGAAATCCTCTGGAAGACTCGGACCTCTCGCACCGTCACATGGTCCATCATTTGACATTTCCTGAGTGTTTCTCATACTTTGATAGGAGCTCTGCAAACTTGAATCCCCACCTGAGCACAAAGAGCAGGATGAAATATGAATCTTTGATTTAAAATCGAAGCTTCTCAAGTAAGCTATCTGTACGTGCAGACAACTACAACATGGTACTGGTGTTCCCCTTTTATTCAATTCAAAAGTATACATTCAAATGTAAACATTGAAAACAATTTCACAAAAAAAGAGTACAAGTGGAGCGGGGTAAAAAGCATACAAGTACATGTAGCAACATACATTAATGTATCCCCTTTCATCCCTATGCATTTAATCACTGATATTGAGATACAGAAATGTAAAGTGCACTCATATGATTTTGTTTCATCTTTCTTTTAATACCAAGGTGGTCTGAATGGTCGTCGATACAAACCTTGTTTGCTACATGACGGTGATGTTGCCTGCAGAGCAGTCCCTTCATTATCATCTGCACTGTCACTATCCACAGGTTCTTCCTTTATAAAGTATGTCAAAGTCTGGTGGTCAGCTTCTTTTGATTGTTGGGCCTCCATCTCCTTAGCATCATCATCCTCTGTCCAACCATCTTCTGAATCTGCTTCCTGCACGGAATCAGTATGAAATCGTCTCTGAATTTCTTCTCCTTGCTGACCTCCTTTCAAGTGGTCTTCCTCAACCAAACACTTTTCAGCTGTGTCTGGTGATTGTGGCTCTTCCGATACCTCTTTGGCATCATTCTCTGTCCAGTCATCTTCCAAGTCTTCTTCCTTCACGATGTAGGTCTTGTATGGTTCCTCTGATGACTGAGGTTCCTCTTTGATCTCTCTCTTGATCACTTCCAGACTGGTCTTCTTGTCTGCCATGATTCTGTGAAAGAGGTTAACAATACATTAAAACAGAATCTTGGAGGAAAATAGACATAAAGTTATAGAGGCCATGTAGTCTGGGACAATTCAATAATTAGGATTGACCCTCGGATTCCTAGGGGTTGTTCCATAAAACCAACTCCAAGACAGTCATATCTTTGTCGGCGACCTACGGAGATGTCAGGAAGTTGATAAACCGTTTCACCAAACCATGAAGAGCAAAAATTTATTATTTCTATACTATCGGCTAAAAAATATATACCGGTAGTCTTTGCCACGGTCCATCACTCTTGTGACTGTATGATGCGTTTAAGGGTCTTTTTTCCGGATTTTCTTCATCGAAATTGAGCTCCATGTTGAAATTCTTGCAGCCGTTTTTTAAACTGTGAAAGAAGACGACGCCATCCAATGACAGTAACAGAATATGGCTACAAGAATTTCAACACGGATCTCAATTTCGATGAAGGAAATCCGGGGAAAAGACCCTTAAAGATACTATGTCCTTTTGCCGCCAACATCGAATTCTGAAGAACTTTGCAGGATTTATGAATATGTCATGTTTGTCCTGTCGAATTTGAACGGTGCAGTTAAAGCAGTGTCCTAGATAATATTCAAATTATGGAAGGCTATACTTGCTCGACTTCGCTGTCAGACACTATTGAGAGACTGACTGGCATTTTTTTTCTTCTTTGGTAATAACATACATAGAATGAGCTGTAAAGGGTACATGAGCATTTGTCTACATCAATAACCCACTTCTTGTAATGGCCAAAATTAAACTGATTGTATCTTTGCGCAGTACGAAACCTATGACCATTCGGTACAATGGTCGGAACCAGGCGCGTACGCAGGGGGGGGGGGGGGGGGGTTGTTTGGTGGGTTAACCCCCCCCCCCCCCTTGGAATTTTAATGTCTGTAGTTGTGAGGGAAACCCCCCCCCCCCCTTTGAGATTTTTTTTATTTTTTATTTTTAAATATATTTTAATATTATGCCCATGGCTGACCAAAAAAAGCAAAAAAAGGTGACCTCCCCCCCCCCTTACGAAGAAAAATTACGAGACCCCCCCCCCCCACTTCCCACACCCCGATTTCAAAATGTTAACCCCCCCCCCCCCCCCCCTTGAAAAAATCCTGCGTACGCCACTGGTCGGAACACAATTAAAGTTGATACTCTAAGACAATCCCAAATACTGAGATAATTACATAAATAGAAAGCTTTTAACCCCCATAATAACACCAAATGGTGTCCACCCGACAAAACAAGTTTAGAATAATGAATTTATTCGAGTAAACTCTACCAAAATATCTAAGTCTGAAACCCGGAAGTGCACGTAGAGTCGGGCCTCTATCCGTGACGTCACGAACGGGAGTCATGGGCTCAGTGAGAGTGAATGGCAGTGATATCCCTACGTAAATGCTATCCTGTCAGAGCTTAGATTTGTTGTTGTTAAGGAGTATATTTGATGGATTTTCTGTTTTCATTTGAATGAAGAATAACGAAGCAACATTTTCCAGTCGCTGATTTCTTTTTATATCCTCATACTCACCTATTTGGTAGAAATTTAAGACGAGTTTACTGCTTAGGAATTAAAGTTAAATCGTGCACTATGAATAGGCGGATGCATTATATTGTCATCAGATGTACATGAGCAGTTTTGTAAAACGAATAGGTCTAGAACTATGATAGTACTTATCATAGATGTGTGTGACTGCCTCAAAAAAGGATACAGTACCAGTTAAACATTTTATGTTGTAAAATATCAAACTTGAACGAGATCATGCAAGCGCGCTTCCTCTATAATATTTTGGCGAGTGATGCGGCTCTTGCATGAACGTTCGTGGAGCGAGCAGAATCGGGAGGTAAGACCAAGCCGCTGCTCTAGGTGCTGCTTGCTTGTGATGGAACGTACGTGCACTAGTTATATGTTTATCGGCAATTGCAAGAGAATGAAAGCGACGTTGCCAGCTAAGAAAAACAACTAACAAAGACTTGCTCCTGACTACCGGTGTCAGAATTGGTAGATGAAGGATGTTCAGGGCCAAGGAAGGCGAAAGACATGGGAAAAAGGAAGAAGAAACCATCGGGAGATCGCTGTAGTGTATGGTAATGAACTGTGCATGGGTAGACAGCTACTGTTCACTCCGTGCCTGGGCCGATTTCAACACCAAAACAAAAATTACATGGTGAAAATATCGACTAATAGCACATCGTTGGCATGTATATGTCAAAGGGGAATTGATATTAATACTATGAAGTATTATCGGACTTGTAGTCCGATTGATGATGTATGTCTTGATGGTACTGACATAGAATGTTCTACAGGTGCTAGAAACCTTGGGGTCACATTTGATAATAATCTATCTCTGAAGACTCATGTGAACAATGTATGCAGATCTGCCTCATTTGCGTTGCATAAAATCGGTAGCATCCGTCAGTTTCTTACTAAAAAGACCACCCAGAGACTTGTTCAGTCACTGGTCATGTCTCGTATTGACTTTTGCAACAGTCTTCTGTATGGTCTTCCTGATGCACAAATTAACAAATTGCAGAGAGTACAAAATTCAGCTGCTAGACTTATTGCAAAGCGTCGTTCACGTGAGTCCATCACTCCACTGTTGAGGGAGCTTCACATGCTAAGAGTCCGGGAACGAATTGATTTTAAGATCCTCTTGCTGACTTTCCAATGTTTGACAAAAACAGCTCCAGTCTACCTTCAAAGGCTGATATCAGAATACTTACCCTCCCGCAACCTGCGCTCAAACAAGAAATCACTCTTAATAGTTCCTGCCACCAATACCCAGTCTTATGGTTCCCGAACTTTTTATGCAGCATCCCCTCAACTCTGGAACAATTTACCTCAATGTATAAAACAAGCAGATTCAACAGACAAATTCAAATCCATGTTAAAAACCTACTTTTTTGTTAAATAGCCTTTTTCATTTGCATATGCAGCCCCCTCGATTGTCCACTATCTATTATGTATAACTTAATATTTGGCTGTAATTCCTTCTCTTTCTATTTTTCTTAAGCGCTTAGAGACATATTTTGTGATAAGCGCTATACAAATGTTGTTAATTATTATTATTATTACTAGGGGAAGGTAAAGATTGTACATAGAATTATGATTTATTAGACTTTTCAGCCTTTGAAACAAAAATATGCAGAAAATCGTATCACTCTGCACATGTTTGCTATGGAACATCCGGGTACGTGAATATACTCTCTCCCGGACGTGAGGTCATAAATAGTAGACCAGCGTCGTGACTGATTTTCTATGCAAAGAGAGGCGGATATTTTAGACATTTCAATTGAGGATTTCGAGTAGACAGAATTTTTTGTGATATACTAAGTAATTGAAAAACTTAAAAATAACATATACTTGCCGTAGGTAACAAATTAAGGGACATTTATTTGCTTAGAGTATCAACTTTAAAACGATCTGTCATGATTTAAAAATAATCGGAGAATGAACATTGGCTTCTCCGAACTCGAGATAAGAAGATGATTATTGGCAAGACGCCGTAGCTGATACGGAGACCCGATAATAATTATTATTGGCGGGATATCGTAGCAACTAACCTAGTAGCAACCGCGTAGCAGCGAATTTATTTAGGGGGTGGGGGCGGTAGTGAGCATGCGAAGTGCGCTCCATATGGGGGGGGGGGGGTGAAGGTGCATGGAGGGAGCAGTTTTTAAAATGTGTTACTATTTTTTCAGCATCCATAAAAGGCTAATTATTTCACTTTAAGTTTAAGACTTACGTAACTATTTCTTAAGTTTGAACAATTCTCATTTTCGTCATATTTAAAACTTATCAACACTAGTGTGGCTAGGAGGGATTAGACCACACAGGGAGGTCACTGACAGGTAGCTATCTCATCATCTCAGCTCTCAAATAACATAAGAAATAGAGGATCATGGGGGACCAACAGGCACCGATTAGGGAAGTTTTCTATATAGAGGGAGCAAGTACCTACAAGTAGGACAGTGGGGCTTTAAGGTACAAACTGAAAATTTATTCAGTAATGTTCTTTAATTTTTCTATTTTATGTGTGTGCAAATTTCATGCGTGCGTCAGTTATGTGTGAAGTGCGTCACCTGTTTAAAGGCAATCTCTCACTTAAATTTGAAGTCACTCGAGCGGATCGGCCAATGAGAGCGCGTAATTAAACTGGATCCGGGCTAACTCGGACCAGGGGACAACTTGGCCCAGCTGCAAAAACGGTCATTTTTTGTCATTTTACCTTAACTCTAACCCTAACTCTATAACCCTAACCCTAACCCTAAACCTAAACATGCAAAAAATGACCGTGTTTACAGCTGGGCCGAGTTGTCTCCTGGTCCGAGTTAGCCTGACTCCATTAAACTCACTGTAGAGCGCTCAATGCGCAAAGTTCTTTGTGAACATGTGGTGAATCTGCACCTTTTTGTAGCGGCGAGGTGAATCTGCATAGACTGCACCCCATTTTTCTTGGAGATGGGTGAATATAATTTGGAAGAGTGAATCTCAACCTTATTTTTTACGAGGCAAGGTGAATTAGATGTGAATATTTGTGTTGGAGGTTCAAAACAAAAAAAAGTGAATAAGAGTGAAGTCTTGACTCTTGAGGGGGTATGTTCAAGGGAGTCAATGCTATTAATAGGGTGTCTGAACGATTTTTCAATTTTCAATTTGGGATCGTTTTTCACCATTTTTGTTTGATATTTGAATAAAAAACGTTATCAGAATAATACATTTCAAATTTCAAGTCTCACCGATGTTTCTATCAAAAGTTACAGCTCCTCCAAAACGCTGGTATATTCATATCATTTTTTGGTCAAAATCGACGAAAAAGACGTCCACGCAGAGTGATGTTGTTTTGCTAAATTTAGCCAAACAGCTGTATCGCGCGATATGCAAGCGTATGCATATGGTACGCATGCTGCTAAGCCAATCCGCGACTTGCAGCTTGAGCTACGCTGTCTCCGCGACATGTGCCATTGACTAGTATGGTTGGCAATCCCGCTGTAGAACCCGGAAGTGAATACACGTTGTAGTCAATGGCAATATCGCGGAGACAACGCACGTTGTCTCCGCGATATTGCCATTGACTATAGCGTGTATTCACTTCCGGGTTTATCGAGGGAATTGCCAACCATAATTTCAGTCACTATAATGTGTAATTGAATTTGGGGTTTCGTTCGTGGGGCGGAGATGTTACGCGATGTAACCATGGTTTGGACTGAGCGGAGCGCACGCCCCCTAATTAGCTGATCCACCAAATAGCGAGAAGGGTATTTTTAAACTGTTATCAGTTGTGATCCCTGGGGGCTAGCGAAAATATAATCACATAGAATTGTTCCTTGGGACTGGGACTACTTATCGATCGGGGCGTCATATCTCAAAAGTGACAAACCTCAGAGTTAGCCAGGACACAATGTTTAAATTGCTGTTTTGACCAAGATATTTTTAGAATTTCGGGGGCTACGCCCCTTTGGAAATATTGGAATTCACCTGCTCTTTCATATGACACCTCATTCATTGATTTTCACCTTCAGGATCACAACAGATAAAGGTTTGAATCTCGATTTGAAAAAAAAAAATTGACTTTTTTTGCATGGTCGCGCAATGCACGTAGGCTGCATAGGGATGCGTGTAATCTCTATGGGAAGAATTTTAGCACACAACATCGGGTGCGCGATCAGACACCCTACTATTAATGCGTATTGACCTTTAGTTCTGCACTACTGTTTATAATAGGCAGCATTTGAATACATGACTAGTCAATACACTCACCAGCTCACAACACACAAATGCACAAAATCATGCCGATGCAGCTGATCAGCAAGTTTGACAGTAGACTGCATCTGTAACTTGCAAGCATCTTCAGCATTGAAGGAGGCAGATTATCTTGAAGAAGAAGAAGAAGACTCACAGTCACAATTTGAATTTTTAAATTATATTCTTTTCAACATATTTTTTTACTGCTTTTTTAGGTGTCATCAATCGTCACTAGATCTAAAGTCTACTGATTTTGAGTGAAATCAGTTGAGTTTTGTATGTAGATCTACAGAGTACAGTGCAGTGCCAGGTGTTTGATTTGAAGAAATGTTGAGAATCAATAGCACAACTTTTAATCATTTCTTTAAGAAAACTGACATTTGTTGACATTCCCCATGTGCATTAGCGCATGCAGGAAGGATACAAGAGATCAAAAGATCAAGAGAGAGAGAGGGGGATAGCTTGCTTCACCATGTTCACATATGGTCATGATCATTGACGATGGTCAAGTCGAAACAAAGACAAATGCAAAGGGGCAGGCAAGGCAAAGAATCTTGTCAAATGGACAACAATTAATGCGAAAAAAACTTACATTGTGGACACATGAAAGTCGACGGCATGCAGTATCAAATATACAAGATGACAGATAAGTCCTTCTCAGCTCAGCAGAGATCGAGACTAAATTTCTAAAACATAGATCTAGTCTAGACTAGACTAGGCCTAAATCTATCTGCTTTTTCCAAATAAATGGACGGATCAGCTCTCTACGTTCGACGTGGGCCGGCCGCGAATTTTTTTTCCGTACTCGAGAGAGCAAAAATCCCATGTGCGCATGCGCGTGGACTTATGATTTCTCTGCTACTTCCCATACGAAATGTACATGTATTCGCATGTACTGTGCACGATTCGCGTTCTACGAGTAAACGATGGCATAGTAGTCTTCAAACACAGACTCTGATTTGCCAGTTTGACAAATCAATATGCGTATGTGTCGCGATGTGCTTATTCAAGTCTGTGTAGTTGTATGATTCAGACCCAGTAGTGCATATGGAAATACATTGCAACTTGTATAGAATGGTATAGTAGTCTGCAAGCACAGACGCTAATCTGACAGTTTGACAACATACTAGTAGTGTGCTGAGAAGTACTTTATTCAAGTCGCCAACTTGTATAGAATGGTATAGTAGTCTGCAAGCACAGACGCTAATCTGACAGTTTGACAACATACTAGTAGTGTGCTGAGAAGTACTTTATTCAAGTCTGCGTAGATGTATGATTCAGACCCTACTGGTGCGTGCGTTAGAAATGCATCTCAATGTGTAGAGTGTAGTATAGTAGTCTGCAAGGACATAATAATATATTGTGTATTGATGAGTAGTGATTTTATGCAAGTTTGTGTAGTTTAATGATTCCAGACCCCATGGTAGGCCTATGTATTGTGCCACTGCTCTCTCACACTCTTTCTCTCTCTCTCTCTCTCTCTCCATATCTCTCTCTCTTTCTCTCTCTATAACACTATTTTGTCAAACTGTCAGATTAGCGTCTGTGCTTGCAGACTACAATGCCACTCTGCAAGTTGAGATGCCTTTCCAATACACGCACCAGTAGGGTCTGAATCATAAAACTACACATATTTGAATATAAAGCACTACTCAAGACACTATGTTGTCAAACTGTCCGATTAGCGTCTGTGCTTGCAGACTACTATACCATGCTATTCAATTTGGGATGCATTTCTGTAAGCACTAAAATGTCTGAATCATACAACTACTCAGACTTGAATACTAGTACTATTGCTACGCACGATATATGCGTAATTGTTTTGTCAAACTGGCAAATCAGAGTCTGTGTTTGAAGACTACTATGCCATCGTTTACTCGTAGAACGTGAATCGTGCACAGTAGATGCGAATACATGTACATTTCGTATGGGAAGTAGCAGAGAAATCACAAGTCCACGCGCATGCGCACATGGGGTATTTGCCCTCTCGAGTACGGAAAAAAATTCGCGGGCCGGCCATGGGCCTTGTACAACTCGCCCCGAACAAACTCACAATAGGGATCGGATTTACACGGCAGTTTACTTTTATCATAGGTAGAGTAAATAGAGTCTTCCTTTTCAGGAATAACACGAGGCATATATATCTCTATTCCGGCGGATTTGGGTCGATTTTGATTTGATTTAGTATTTAAGTTCAAAGTACCTTAAATACAAAAGTAAAATGATACTATCGACAACAAAAAATAATAATAATTAGAAGAACTTGATAGGATATGACCATTAGTAAAGCTGAAAAAGCACTATTTAGAATTGGGGTCCTATTTTTACAAAGTTAGTATATAGGCCTATAAATTATGTTTTCATTCAAAGGCATAAAATGATCACAAGAATATACTAAAACAAGTATAATTACAGTCAGGCGCGCCGGAAGCAGTTTGGGATGGGGGGGGGGGAGAGGTCGAAATTCCGATCCATCAGAAACCATGGTGTCTATATTGGTTTTAATAAGGAAAGTGAAATATCGGATCCACAGAAACCAATAGAAAATATCTTTTGGGCCAACACGCCCCCCCCCCCCCCCCCCCCACAGAAAAGTGTTCAGATAGACCCCGGTGCGTACGGAGGGGTTGGGGGTTGGGGTTGGGGTTGGGGTTTATGTGTATGTTTTTTGTATGATCTGTTTGAAAACCCCGAAATTTGAAAAATTGACATTTTGTTCCGTTGGGGGGGGGGGGGGGTGGTATGCAGTGGCGTAGACAGGTTCGTACACCTGGGGGATGACTCAGGGGCGGATCTAGCTTTTTGCTAAGTCCACGAGCCGCAAAGCGGCGAGCCGATTTTTTTTTTTTGGTGTTTATTTGAACCCCGTAAGTGATGTTTTCCTGGCATCTATTAACACAATGGAGACCATAAAAAGCAGTGCATGATAACGTCTTTTTAAATCAAGTAACATTTAAATACACAGTTATATCCAGAGTTATCATGTGTTTGGTTAAGTTACCAGATGAGTTGAATATCTTCTCACAATATTTGCACTTGAAAGGGTTTCTCTCCAGCGTGCGTTCTTTTTTCTTTCTTTTTTTTCTTTTTTTTCTTCTTTTTTTTCCCCCCTTTTTTTTGTTGTTTGTTTTTTGGGCCGCCCCGTAGATCCGCGCCTGTTTAATCTTGTGGTTATCTTGTGGTTTCCAAACCACAAGATAACCACAAAATACTTGTAAGATTTTCTTTTTTTTTTACCGTCTGAATTGGCTTTCACGAGTGTGAATGCGGCTAATAACAATAAACACAATTACAATAATGATGAGGATTATTATTATCATCATCATAATTATTATTATTATTAATATTATAATTGTTATCATTATTATTATTACTATTATTTTTATCATTATGACTTATTAAGTAAGCAAATATCATTCCCCAAAACCTGGGGGGGGGGATGATTGTACATGCCATCCCCCCACCTTGTGAGGTGGGGGGGATGCATCCCCCTCCCCCCCGTTGTCTACGCCCCTGGTGGTATGGTCACCTTTTCTTAGGCCAAAAGTGTCCACTTTTTCAAATTTTCGGGAGCAAAAAAGTAAAGCTAAGTCGTTGCGAAATTTTGGGCCCGATTTTAACCCCCCCCCCCCTTGAAAAAATCCTGCGTACGCCACTGGATGGACCAACCAGTGGCGGATCCAGCCCCTTTTCACCTCTTATCAATGCCCCTATCAAAATCTGATGGGAGCCCATTTTCCGTCGACAAATGCCCATTTCCTATTCTCATGACTGACTTTTTTTCATCCCTGGTGAGTGCCTGTTTTTGAGGGTGTAGGCCTAAGAAGTGCCCTATTTTCACATCTGATAATATCTCTTTGTACTTTGACACATGCTCCTTTTCTTTTCTAATAAGTGTCCCCTTTTCCTCTCATCATTGACGCGCCCCTAATCATCTCAAGCGACTAAGAGCAATTTCCCCCAAAGCTCACTCGCTATAGTCGCTCGTACGCATTATAACATACTTATGTTACTTATCAAAGACCTTTTCAGTCTTCTGTTATGAGAATGTGATATATATATAATCCCATCAGGATTGGTTCTTTCCTCTTATAAGATGTTATATTTGTCACTGCGACTTCAAAAATCTTAATATTTTTTCTCGCTCGCCTCGCTCGCTCGCAAATTATTTTTCAGATCATCACACCGCAATTATGATGCTTAAGCAATATCTTGTATGGTGTAAAAAGTGAAACAAACATTGAAATCATCCCTGATAAAGTAATCACAATGTTGGCCGGGGGTATATACCATAGTCTAAACAAATGTATATTTTTGCTTTGAAATTTGCCGTGCCTTTTTTTCTTCAGAAAGTGCCCTTTTTTCTTGGCCCCCCCCCCCACCCATACTTTGGAAGTCGCTTGGCCGCCCCCTGATTACGGCTTAAAATGAACAAGCATGCTCGTATTTTTTTTTAATAAGCTGAATTCCGAATTTCCGACTCAGTTTTGCACAACCTAAAGATCGCGGTCGGCATTTCACACGCGCGCATATACCTACCCCCCCCCCCCCCCCCCAGTTTTCGACTTATTCGTCGTTACTGTTACTTAGTGCCATCTCCTATTAACTTTCTCCCTTTCTAACCCGGATTGTCTCTTTTGTTTTCTTCTCAGTCTCTCTCTCTCTCTCTCTTTCTTTTCTCTTCTGTTTTTCTCGTTTTTTTTCTTTTCTCATTTCCCGCTTAGGCTTTTCTCTTCTCTCTTTTTTTTCCTTCTCCTTTCTTTTTTCTCTTCCTTTCTTCCTCTTTTTTTTGCGCCGCCAATAAGGGACAGGCGCGGATCCAGGGGGGGGGGGCAAGCGGGCCTTGCCCCCCCCCCCCGCAAAAAAAAAAAAAAAAAAAAAAGGAGAGAGAGAGATGGGTGGGGGGGGGGGGGGGGAAAGCGGACATTTTTTTTTTTGGAGTCCCCAAAAAAATCGTAACGACTCAGCCAGCCACTGAATAATCGGGGGGGGGGGGGGGGGGAGGGGGCGACAGACCTGGCCTCCCTGCCCCCAAAAAGAATTTTCTCACGAATTAGGCAAAACAAAAATAATAAAAAATAGTTCTCTTACACCCCCCCCCCCCCCCACCCCCACGCCGCTTATTCACAGGCTGGCTGAGTCGCAACAAATTTGTTCACGTTTACGCGACTAAGAGAAACTCCCCCAAAGCTCGCTCATTACGCTCGCACGTATTTATAGATGATCAAAGCGGATCTAGAGGGGGGGGGGGGGGGGGGGGGGGGGGGGGGGGGGGGGGGGGGGGGGTGGGGGGGGGGGGGGGGGGGGGGGGGTTGGGGGGGGGGGGGCAACCCCCCCCCCCCCCAAAAAAAAAAAATCCGGGGACCATTTTTTTAAATCTTATCTTTTTTTTTAACTTGTAATTTTATTTTATTCTATTTCTATGTATTTATTTCATTTATTATTATTATTATTATTATTATTATTATTATTATTATTATTATTATTATTATTATTTCTTTTTGGGGGAGGGGGGGGGGGGGGTTGGGCGAAAAAATGTCACAGAGTCCCTTGCCCCCCCCCCCCCCCATCAGCATTTTTGAGGACACGGGTCACCGCCGAAGTGACAAGCTAGGCCAGCGTTGCCGATTCTCATCCCCAAAATCCCCACATTAAAAAAATTTAAAAAATTGGGGGATTGTTGAAGTCTTTGGGGATGAAAAATAAATATTTGGGAATGAAAATAATATTGAGTTTTATGAAAAACGAATTTGGGGATTTTCTGTCAAAATTTGGCAACTTTGGGGATATTTTAAGTGTCGTTTGGGTGGGGATTTTGTGAAGATTTAACCTGGCAACGCACGCTGAGCTGGGCTGCTCATTTCCTGGATTACTTGTTCAAGTTGCTCACTTTTTTATCAGTCTGGTCTGAGTGTAGTGACAAGCAATATGGAAGCAAACAGGGCAAAGAAGTTGCGGCAATCCAGTCTCGCATCTTTTTTACTGGAAGGTATGTTTGAATCATGCAAATAAGTTGGCATACAGGGTAAATTACCATACATGGGGGTGTAATACGGACGTGTTGTAATACTACAATTTGAGTAAATAAAACACATCCAGCGCCCACGCTTCGCGGGGAAACAGGCGCGGATCTACGGGGGGGGGGTTTAGGGGGTTTAAACCCCTCCCTGGACGGCCCAAAAAACAAACCAAAAAAAGGGGGGGGGGAAGGAAAAAAAAAAAAAAAAAAAAAAAAAGAACGCACGCTGGAGAGAAACCCTTTCAAGTGCAAATATTGTGAGAAGATATTCAACTCATCTGGTAACTTAACCAAACACATGATAACTCTGGATATAACTGTGTATTTAACTGTTACTTGATTTAAAAAGACGTTATCATGCACTGCTTTTTATGGTCTCCATTGTGTTAATAGATGCCAGGAAAACATCACTTACGGGGTTCAAATAAACACCCCAAAAAAAATCGGTTCGCCGCTTCGCGGCTCGTGGACGATGCTCCGCATCGTCATTATTGGTCAACCCCCCCCCTTAGCAAAAAGCTAGATCCGCCCCTGATGATATACTTATGTTACTTAGCAAAGGCCTTTTCAGTCTTCCGTTATGAGAATGTGCTTATAACCCCATCGGTACCGGTATTTTCCTCTTTATAAGAAGTAATTTTCGCACTGCGACCTCAAAAATCTTACTAACTTTGTCCTCGCGCTAGCAAATAATTTGTCAGACCATCACACCCAGCTGCACTTAGTATGATGCTAAAGTAATATCTTATATGGTGTATAAAGTGAAACAAATATTGAAATCATCCCTGATAAAGTAATCACAATGTTGGGGTATATACCAATGTCTAAACAAATGTATATTTTGCTTTGAAATTTGCCGTGCCTTTCTTCTTCAGAAAGTGCCCTTTTTCTTGGTGCCCCCCCCCCCCACCCATACTTTGGAAGTCGCTCGGCCGCCCCCTGATTACGGCTTAAAATGAACAAGCATGCTCGTATTTTTTTTTTAATAAGCTGAATTCCGAATTTCCGACTGAGTTTTGCACAACCTAAAGATCGCGGTCGGCATTTCACACGCGCGCATATACCACCACCTAGGCGCGGATCCAGGATTTCTTAGGGGGGGGGGGGGCCCAAATTTGAAATTATGCGAGCCAAATATTGGTACGTAATGGTGACCAACAGTGACGTAATGCGGGGGGGGGGGTCGGTGCAGGGAGGGGGGGCGAGTTTTCCCCTACCCGGAAGCTTTGAAGTTTCATTAAATTATTAGAGAAAGAAAACGATTCTTTGTACCGTTTTCGACTCAAAATCTTCGTCTAATTTTGGTTTTCCCTCCCGCGCGAAGCGCGAAAAATTTTACGATTTATTAAATTATAGAGAAATAAGACGATTCGTTGTAGAGTTCTCGTCTCTTAATCCTTGTCTAAGTCCACCCCTCCCCCTCCTGCGCGAAGCGCGGAAGCTTTGACGTTTCATTAAACTATTAAAGAAAGAAGACGATTCGTTGTACCGTTCTCGTCTCTTTATCCTCGTCTGAATTTAGTTTTTCCCCTTCCGCGCGAATTTTACGTTTTTTAAATTATTAGAGAAAGTAGACGATTCGTTGTAGAGTTCTCGACTCTTAATTCTCGTCTGAATTCAGGTCCCCCCCCCCCTCCCGCGCGAAGCGCGGAAGCTTTTACGTTTCATTAAATCATTAGAGAAAGAAGACGATTCGTTGTACCGTTCTCGACTCTTAATCCTCGTCTAAATTCAGTCCCCCCCCCTCCCCTTCCTGCGCGAAGCGCGGAAGCTTTGACGTTTCATTAAACTATTAAAGAAAGAATACGATTCGTTGTAGAGTTCTCGACTCTTAATCCTCGTCTGAATTCAGGTCCCCCCCCCCTCCCGCGCGAAGCGCGGAAGCTTTTAAGTTTCATAAGATTATGAGAGAAAGAAGACGATTCGTTGTAGAGTTCTCGACTTTAATCCTCGTCTGAATTCAGGCCCCTCCCCATCCCGCGCTAAGCGCGAAAGCTTTTCATTAAATCATTAGAGAAAGAAGACGATTCGTTGTACCGTTCTCGATTCTTAATCCTTGTCTGAATTCAGCCCCCCCCCCTCCCCTCCTGCGCAAAGCTTTGACGTTTCATTAAATTATTAGAGAAAGAAGACGATGCGTTGTACCGTTCTCTATACTCTTAATCCTTGTCTGAATTTCAAAGATGTTCTTTGTCTGCTCCTTTTACTTCCTACGTCCTCTTCCGATTTGGGGGGGACCGCCCCCCCCCCCCCCTGGCTACGCGCCTGCGGTCAGATAAACACATTTTGATAACTTGTCCGGCCCGGAAGCTCAGGGGTTTAGGCGTTTAATTAAGGTCAGATGATTATTTTTTTTTAATACCTATTATTTTGTGACACTGGCAGGTCACTATTTGGGGGGCGGATCCCCCCAAAAGAGGGATTTTAGGCATTAAATTACCGTCAGATGAGCATCTAAGGGCCCGCCGTAGCACCCTAGGTGGAATCCAGGGGGCAGAGCCCCCGGAGCTTAGGGGTTTTAGGCATTTAATCACGGTCAGATGAGCATATTTTGATGCCTCATTTTTTAGCACTGCAGTTAACTATTCTTTCTTTCTTGCTCTCATTCTATTTTTTTCTCTTTAATATACTTTTTCAAATAAAGTGGGGGGGGGGGGGGGGGGGGGGGGAGGGAGCTCGAGGCTCCCGATCCCTGCCGTACCTCGGGCCCTGACATGTAGGAATCTCAAGAATCATATTTCGTGCCTGGCTGTAAATTTAGGATTTGTCATTTTCCAACAAACACATATACAAACGTATAATTTACTAAAAAATGAGGACAAATCTGGGAAATTATATCATTTCAGCATTATTTGTAATCCACCGTTGTGGAATTAGAAATAAATCACGTTTGAATTTGATTTCTCCAAAGCCCCCCCCCCCCCCTATTAGTACGCCAGTATCTCCTCTTTTCTTTATTCTTTAATTCCCTTTCCTTCCTTCTTCCAATTTTTTTATTCGGGGGGGGGGGGGGGGGGGGGGGGGGGGGTGGGGGGGGGGGGGGGGGGGGGGTCAAACAGCCTGGGAGGCAAGGCCCTTTCGGTCCCCCCCCCGATTTCCTTCTTCCCCCTTTTCTTTTCTTCTTCTTCTTCTTCTTTCTCTTTCCCTTTCTCTCCTCTTTCCCTTTCCCTTCTTTTCCTTTCTTCTCTCTCTCTCTCTCTCTCTTTTTTTTTTTTTTGGGGGGGGGGGGGGGGCCAAGGCCCGCTCGCCCCCCCCCTGGATCCGCGCCTGCCACCCCCCCCCCAGTTTTCGACTTATTCGTCGTTACTGTTACTTAGTGCAATTTCTTATTTACTCTCTCCCTTTCTAACCCGGATTATCTCTTTTTTCTTCTTCTCAGTCTCTCTCTATTTTCTTTTCTCTTCTGTTTTTCTCTTTTTTTTTCCTTCTCTTTCTATTTTCTCTTCCTTTCTTCCTCTTTTTTTTTGCGCCGCCAATAAGGGACATGCGCAAAAAAAAAAAATCGCAACGACTCAGCCAGCCACTGAATAATCGGGGGGGGGGGGGGGGGGGGGGGGAGAGGGGGCGAGGGACCTGGCCCCCCTGCCCCCCAAAAAGAATTTTCTCACGAATTAGGCAAAACAAAAATAATAAAAATAGTTCTCTTACACCCCCCCCCCCCCCCACCCCCCGCCGCTTATTCACAGGCTGGCTGAGTCGCAACAAATTTGTTCACGTTTACGCGACTAAGAGAAACTCCCCCAAAGCTCGCTCATTACGCTCGCGCGTATTTATAGATGATATACTTATGTTACTTAGCAAAGGCCTTTTCAGTCTTCCGTTATGATAATCATGTGCTTATAACCCCATCAGTACCGGGTATTTTCTCTTTATAAGAAGTAATTTTTCGCACTGCGACCTCAAAAATCTTACTAACTTTGTCCTCGCGCTAGCAAATAATTTGTCAGACCATCACACCCAGCTGTACATTAGTATGATGCTAAAGTAATATCTTGTATGGTGTATAAAGTGAAACAAATATTGAAATCATCCCTGATAATGTAATTACAATGTCGGGGTTCCAATGTAAAAAAAAAACGAAGAAGTGTATTAACTTTTTCGCTTTGAGATTTCCCTCAGCCTGTAGGTGCCCTTTTATTCCAGAAAGTGCCCTTTTTTCTCGGTGCCCCCCCCCACTTTGGAAGTCGCTCGGCTGCCCCTGGCTTGTATACTAGAGCAAATCAAAGATTTCCCGAAGGGGGGGGGGGCACAATAAAAAAAATGAGCATGCATATGCAAGCAAGACAAAATTTAATTAATTGTGCCCCAACTTGTGCATGCAGAGCCTTGCAGCGGGCTGAGAGCAAGAGCCAGAAGGGTTTTTACTTTTTACTCCTATATTTAAACACTTGCAACCTTATTTGTCACTTTACATGGATTGCAACAACAATAAAAAGCACTTAAAAATAAATGGGACAAAACAAATGTACCATGCATCTGCTAAGCGGCATTTTGAATGAATCATGATAATTATGATCTTGTGTGATTTTGATAGATTTGCTCACATTAATCGGCAGTAGAGGGCGTATATCCTGGCAACGCGCGACGCAGTCAACAATATATGGCGGATTATCAAGAGATCATTTGGAAATATTTGAACGATATATAATTACATGGCTATTTTAACTTTCACAGTAGTGGTAAGTAGCATTAGTAATTTCTATTGAATCATGAAAATCCAATTTCGTTGAACTAATCGTAGGTACCATTGCTAACACAATTGCACAACCAATCAATTATCGTGTCCCGTTATGCGCGATGCATCAGTGAGCTGCGGTTCGAGAGTCCTGCCTGGCCCCGAAAACTCGGGGTCGGATGGCCGTCGATCGCCGCAGGTACGTGCGCGTGTACAGCACTGCGCGGCGCAGTGTTGCTCAGCTCAAAATAATGCAGAGTAGATCTAGACTACTGCCATTCTAGAAACGGGCACAGGGTCTTGCCCTTGCGAGGCTCATACTAGATAGGTCATGAGGTAGACCCCTAGGCCTTGCTAGATAGATTTACTTAATTACTTTGGTTTAGGCCCACTTTGGTGTTGAGGCTTGAAGCTTCAGCTAATTAGTTGTGATAGAAGTCTAGTCAGATCTCGATCTATGACTATGACTAAGTATGAGTATGAGTTCTATGACTAGTCTAGGCCTAGATCTATATGCCCCTTGGATTCACGTTGATTGCTGATCGAGGCATTTATGATTTAGGGCCTAGAGTAGATCTAGTCTAGATCTAGACCCCTAACTAATGGCAATTTCAAGAAGGTTGTGTGATCAAGTTTTACATCAATGTTGTTACTTTTATGTTAGGACTTATTTTCCAAAATGCTGGGGCCCGTTCCTACAAACCGTCATAAGTCTAACTTCTTGACTAAATCAGCGTTAGTGAACAACTTGTCCGCTACGTGTTTCACCAAGCCCTCTTTGCCAAGATCAACGACAACATCCTGACTAAGGAGTTATGACACCTCTGACACCGTCGTATCTCTGTCATAACTATTTAGTCGATGCCGATGGGCAGCGCCATCACATGTCATTTATTGGGTAGACTATGGCTGGCAAAAAAGGACAATAAATCCTCCAACTATGATTTTTCTACACATTCACTTAAACAGTGAATTATCGTTTTTTGTATTTGAAAATCTCATGAAAATATGCCATGTTTGTATTTAAGGATTTTCCCACTTAAATAAACTGATTATACGCCTTATTTCCACATTGTAAACTCATCGAAGGGATATGTATTTTGCCACGGCAGGCAAGCCATAGTTTGAAATGTATTCTTTAGTTTTCAGACCCATATTAATTTCGAGATGAATTTTATTTTAAATTATGCAAAGTGAATGGTTTAAACATATGTTTTAACGTTTGAAAAATATTGAAGTTTTGTAATTTTTATATTGTGCTGACGCCAAAAACATTGAACACAAATTTCATTACATCGTATTTTTTCAAAGAATAATATAAGGGTGTATTTTTATAAACTATCAAATGAAAATATTCGGGGGTGCCCATCTCAACAACAAAACTGATTCACTGGTCATGTAATGAAAAACTCACAATTATATTTTACAAGTACTTCAATTGTTTAATCTACACAAATTTGGAAGTATATTGGATCTCTTATTTCTTGGTATCATTTTTAATCTTTTTTATACTAATTCATTTAAATAATTGCATTTTCCCTAATATTAATTTTGTAATAATCTGGTGGTATTGCGACTACGGCTAATTCTCGGCTCCTCTTCTCGCCGATAATATCGATCTCACGAGATACTTAGCTAGTAAGCTCTTCGTGAAACGGTTTAGGAAGATCAGAGACATCTCTGTAGTTGGCGGATAAAGTTATGACTGTCTTGTCGTTGGTTTCTAGGAACGAGCCCCTGTAGTCTAAAGTTAGACCTAATGCCTCCTGAGATGAGAGGCTTGATTTTGACAATGACAGAGTGAATTCCTCAAAATTCTTCCAGCTATTATCTTTTATTGAACTAGCCACTGACTCAACAACAAGTCAAGAGGCCATACTTTCAAGATTGTCCAACAATTAATGTGCCAATACAAGAATTAGGCAGTATAGTTTCTCAGTAAGGAGTGTTAATAATTGGAATGCCCTGCCTAACAATAGTCAATGCTGCCACCATTAACCGATTCAAGTCATCCCTAGGCCTAGAAGGGTATTATTACTATTGGAGAAACAATCCAATTAAGTTTGAACCATACTTTTGACGGGATGCATCAGTATAAAAGAGGGACAAATAAGCTGAGCTTCCAGTCTCTACACCGAAGTAAACAAGTACATGTAAAAGTAAAGTAGACCGTATCAATGGTTGTTCCGCTGAGATTACATCTGATCTGGCTCTTCATCCTCTGACCGCCTCTGGGAATGTTGACAAATGTCAGTTTTATTAAAGAATGACCCATATACCAGACGTTTATTTCTGTCTAGTTTACAGTTAGACTTAGACTTCATTGTATTTGTAGTAATGGGTGGCTTAACTGCAGAATGATACCCCGCACATTTAGACTACCAGTAGTAGTACCAAGTACAACGTTGACAAGCCACCAATCAGAAGAGTCTAGCTAGCTATTGGCCTAAACCTGTGTATGCGCACATGGTAACCGTTAAGGTGAGTCAACCGTTAGTGATAGGGTCATAATGATCATGCAAACCCACCTTTCATCAACCCATTGGCATTGTTAGCTCAATCGGTAAGGACAGCACAAGTTACATTGGAGTTGAATTGTAACCTTTTTCGAAGCTGTTAATGATATGTCAATCAGCCAAGCTAGCTAGGGTCTGGAAATCTCGGTGTACGTATTATTCTGCAGTTGTTCAGGAGGGGGCATCCTACTAGTTTTAACAATATTATAGGCATGCCATGGTAATCTAATTCTAAATGCCACCCCCCAAAAAATAGGATCTGGCTCTGACTGTCTCTAAAACTAAACGACAACATCATGCTTAATCTGATCGATGTTTCTACTTTCATTTGGACATTATAAACCAAATTTTTCCACAAAATTAAATGTGCATCCAACCACTACGCAAGTAATAATTCAGGTTAGAAATATTAGGGTGTCCAGGGAATAATTTTCCTGGTATCGCATCGCAATTTGCTATGCATTTTTGCACGACTGCTATACAAAATATCTTTTGTGTAGCAGTTTTCTTCCATAGAAATGTACAGAATTTCATTTGAAATATTTATCCATCAGCTGAAATTGCTAATCAAAAAATTTGAGGAAAATTATTCCCTGGTGTCTGATCGTGCACTCGGTTTTGTGTGCTAAAACCATTCCCATAGAAATTGCACGCATCCCTGTCAGGCTATGTGCATTGCGTGCTCATGCAAAATTGGTAGGCCCGAGTCATTCAGCTTTTTTACTAAACGTTAAACCGTTACGTTTATACAGGCGGTTTTGTTTAAATGTCCCCCTGATTGGCAAACCGTGCTTGCACAGTTCATTTGACAGAATTTGGAAGTTTGTTGAACAGAAAACTTGCTTTATATAAGAATGAGCGTTTCTTGAAATCTGCTTTAGGGTATGTATAAAAGCAGTGAATTGACTGAATATTGGGTTATTTGGGTGCAAAAGACATGCAATGATTAGGGAGACAGTTCCATTTATATCTTTAAAAAAATATGTAAGATTTCTAAATTTATAATGGAAAGAGGAACAAGAAATTACCTAAAAAAAGGGGGGGGGGGGGGAGGCACAATTAAGCTGGTTGTCTCCATCCCACACTCCCAAATCTGCCATTGCAAGAACCCGCTATTATTATTACCGGTATTATAAAATGTTCAATGAAGATACCATCTACACTCTCAAATGTATTAACTGTTTGAACTTCTTGTATCTTTCCAGGTATGACAGGAATCAAGATTGTTGTAATTGACCATCACTAAGCCCGGCAGCATGGAGGTGGACGAAAGGCTGAGATTCCTTGAGACTCGAATCACGTCAAGCCTTCGTCCTAGGAATGATGACCTCAAAGCCCTCTTTGCTGGAGATGAAAACAGGTACAGTGTAGTTGTATAATCATGATCAAATCAGATCATATCCATGTAGGTACAGGGAGTTTATTGAAATTAAATTCAGACATACATGTAATACGATTATTCTTTAAATAACAAAAAATTCCCCAAAACTAAAAAGACAAACAACCAAAATTCACAGGAAATGGTAGGAGCTTACTAAAGGAATGATGACCTCGAAGCCCTCTTTGCTGGAGATGAGAACAGGTAGTTGTATAATTTTTGGATCGAATCAGATCATGCACAGGGAGTTTATTGAAATTAAGTTCAGACATAATAGAATTATTCTAAGAAGCATAAAACAAACAAACGAACCCCCCAAACACCAGACAAAAAACCAAAATCCATCACTTCAAATTTAAGTTCTTTGTGCATGGATTCTTTTGTTTATTCAAAGACTTTGTATTAAAGAGAGTTAAAATTCTTGTTCAATTTTCTATCCGTCAGACATGCATTTCTGGAGTTCTGCAACAACGAAGACGTCCGCAGACTCTTCATCTACACCAGGGAGCCCAAGAACACGCTCGTGGCCTCTCTCCTTCCACCGCAGGACGTTAGGTCCAAGGGGGTCATCTTCATCAAGACCAATCAGGCCACTAAGCTGACCAAAGAGAACATCAGAACGGATGTGGTATTTTCGGACAGTAATAAATTAGTACTCAATCAGCTGGAACTACTTTCTAAAGAAGTAAGAAACAGTTCTTTCCAATGTTTTCAAAATCTGATTTTTTATATTAAAAAAATTGACCAAAGAGAACATCAGAACCGATGTGGTATTTTCGGACAGTAATAAATTAGTACTTAACCAGCTGGAGCTACTTTCTAAAGAAACAGTTCTTTCTGATACTTTCAACATCTGATTTTTTATATTCAACAAATTGACCAAAGAGAACATCAGAACTGATGTGGTATTTTCGGACAGTAATAAATTAGTACTCAATCAGCTGGAACTACTTTCTAAAAAAGTAAGGAACAGTTCTTTCTGATGCTTTCAACATCTGATTTTTTTAAATATTCAACAAATCGATTATTATTATTTGTATGGCATTTCCATTATACATTCCGTGCACTCACATAGTTACCTGCTTTTTCTTTTGTCATGTAAAAAGGAATTGTTTCCCGTCACAAAAAACAAATTTTTTGCTTTCAAATTTTTTGAAAAGTTGCCACAAACACTATAGTGAATGTGTTTAGGTCTAATTGTATTGTTATGATATATATATAAATAACATTTAGCCTGTTTTCTTGATATACTGGTAATGTTGATTTAAACTAAAAAGCTGTTTTATACGACAAAAGGCTTACATTAAGGATAATTTATTTGTACTTTATAGGTTATACTTCATTCATGTAAGTGAGAATTGTTTTATTCTGTAAACAATTGATAATTTTCATTGAATTTGCCCCTCCATGTAATAGTGGTAATGATTCATTGAGGCAGTTTTTCATCACTTAATTCTTTCTCGTTTTGCTTAACGAATCAGTTGTACCTACCCCTGCTGTGTACGGATGGAGTGCAGACCTATGGCGGGGTTAGCTCAGACAAGCTCATGGACATCCTTCACAGATTGATGGCCAATACCAACGTCACAGAAGGGCATGTGGAGGTATGTTTGTCATCCCTGATAAATTTGATAACCATGATATATTTGATAGACTCTAAATTAATGCTCGAAGTGACTCTGTAATTGCCTCAGATTCTGAACAATATCCTGGATTTAGCTCATGCTGCAATCATAAGATCAATCAGGAATCCCATGGCTTTTACAAGCCGATCACCTGTCTGATTATCAAGATATTTATAATTGGAAATCCAAATTTCATTTTTTGTTTTCCTAACTTAAAAAAAATTAATACTACAGTCTATTGGGGAAAATGACTATGGTAAAACGGGTCACTCAAAGATTTTACTTTTTAGAGGCACTTCATGATCGTGTTGAAGTGCAATTTTTTTAGGGCTTCAATATTATACCATATCACAGACACTGCTAATACTTACGGCCATGCATCTAAGATTTAGCCTTGTTAAACGATGCCTTTAATAGGCTAGCTAGATAAAAATATTTCACTGCTCTGCCTATGTTGAACTTACTTTGTAGTCCTATATCAAGTGAAAGGGGAAAAAGGCAAAACACCTCCAGCCTCCATTTTAAGATTTAGATTTTGAATAATCTACAGACATCTTTCATTATGCCTCCTTTGACTGCAATATGTTCTAAGATATAATTATATTTCATATAAGGTATATGTTATTAAGTGTTGTCATATTGATTGGATGTGCTGAAACCCCATTACATTTATTCAAAAGACCTCGGTCTAAAGTTTAAACTTAAAGTAGATACTGGTATAACAGTTAAAATCAAATTCATTATAACAAAATGAGTGAGTCAATCGTTGATGAAATGCCTTGATAAAGGACACAAGCACCAGTCAGAGATTTGAACCACCAGCCTTTTATTTGAGAGTCAAGTGAATGGACCACTATTATACTACAATACTCCCAGTAAAAAAAAAAATCAAAAAAAAAATCATATATTCTCCCCACCCTTGACCACTTTTTTTCTTCTTCCGTATAATAATCATTCATTAGGGTCAAATCAGCCTGCCCCTGCCATCCATCGAGGTGCTGACCGAGGCAGCAAGTAACGCCAACAGAAGGTCAGCGGTCATCCATGTCCTGGAGTCAACAGTGGTCGGCTGGATCAAGCAGATTAAGGTCTGTATAATTAAAGTGCTCGGACTGTCCCCTGGAGGGGGAGGGATCGGGGACATGTTTTATTGTTCTCATATCAGTCATTGTGCATCGTTCTTCAAACAATTTAAATTCTATCTGCACTAGTTTGGCAAGGAGGGATTAAACTTCCCTGCGTGGTCACTGACAGGTGGTTATCTCATCAAATCAGCTCTCCATGAACATAAGAAAAAGGGGACCATGGGGCAACAATGGGTACCGCTAAGTCATTGTTGGCTATATAGAGGGTGCAAGTAGCTACAAGTAGTGCAGTCTCGCTTTAAGAGTTGTACAGTCATACTTTGCAGTAGGAATGTCTTCTGAATACAAGAAATAAAATGAATACTAATTTTATTACCATCTATCAATTTTCACCCCCGTAGCTTGTGTTAAAACACGAACCCCTCTCTGACCTGCGAGAAAAGTTTGGAGTGCGACCTTTCCCCTTGGACGAGGTCAACCTGTGGCGGCAACGTCAAGAGAAACTGCTCTCTATCAACAAACAGTTAGATTCACCAGTGGCAAGCAACATCCTTCTCAACTTAGACGACGCCAACAGCACCTATTCACATTCCTTCCATAACGTACGCAGGGAGATCGGACAGGTAAAGCAAAATCGGGAAGCAAATATTGTTTATTTTTTGGCTGTCTGCAATGTAAAGAATAAGTTCCATACATTAATAAGCGTTATTGAATTGTATTATGGAATTTTGATCAAAGTTGATAAAAATAATATTTTATTTGGTTTGATGAATTTTAGCTTTAGATTCTAGCTTCAGCTTGATACAGTCATCACAAAACTGAAAATCTTGGATGTTGTCAATAATTTATGGAACAAAATATCATTGGAATGTCTAATATTTTTGTTAATGAGAGCTACTTTAATAAAATACATAATAATAATGTGTTTTTTATCATACCTTGCCCCCAAAACCTGTGGGATACGAATTGGTAAATCACTGTAATGTGCAGACTTGTAATTGAATCCAGGGACCTGGGTGATGATAATACTGCAAGTGCTTTGATCGTTTAACCAGTTGGTAAAATACTTTTTAAAGAAATGATCATTAATGTTAGTATCATTATGTGTTTTTGTACATGTAGGCTTTAGCAGAGACCAATGAGAATTTGATGTTCCTGGTAACCCTTCTTCCATGGTTTGAACGCCTACATGCAGCCTCTCAACCCAAAGAACTGATGACAGTCTTTCCACCCCTTGTACACACACTCATGCTGGTCTGGTCTCACTCAAGGTAACTTATCGAAAATGGGACTTTGATTAGGTATTTGGTTACTATAGGTATTTATAAATGTTTGCTTTTGAAACATTGTTTAGAAAATGCATCAGGACGGATTAGGTTATTAATATTAACAACAGTGATTATTATCAATTTAATAATTCTATGAAACATTAAGAAGAAAAAAAAAGAAGTAATTACCTGTTACACTTTTAATTCTTATGGTTTCTTAGACATGTACTAGCAAACTGAAGTAAACTCGCATTAACAACAAAAGTTATGATAGTTGTCTGACATATATGACACAGTGATCACCAAAACAACCATATCTTTTCTGTAACATAATTTGTTTCAGTAAGTCTAACCTACAGGAGGGACGAAAGCTTATTTGTCAAACTCTAAAAAAAAAGGAGAGGTTGACATTAAGAGAGAATCCCCATGAGTCCTGAAATTCTAACTTCAGGGGGTGTTTCACAAAGATCCTGAGTCAAACTTAACTCTAAGTTTCACTTAAACATTATGAAGAGCCATTTGTAGCCTTAAAATAGGATATATTCAAAAGCGAAAATTCCAGTATTTTAGACTTTATAAATTCCACATCAAGAACATGAAATCTCTTTGATAATAGAGAAAATGAATTATTTGAATCAACATTTTATGCCTTTTAAAGTACCCTTTAAAAATATTTTCATACATGCTAACGGCTTTCCATAATTATTAAGTCCAACTTAGAGATAAGTTCAAGTTAGGATCTTTGTGAAACACCCCCCAGAACCCTCATGCATACAAACCCTTCAAATTTCAATCAAGACCCCCTATGTTATTGTTTAGTGTGGAGCTCTAAACCGATGGTAGAAATTTTAATCATATTATGATTACCCTAACCAAAGAAATCATTTTGCATCAAAGTCTGTATATTGTATCCTGCATCCTAGGTACTATCATCATGACTTTGTGTTCCACAACCTTCTGGAGTTGGTATCCAATGAGGTGGTAGCCAGGGCACAGTCTCTGGTGGGTGAGAACATCCTCAAGAATACAATACAGGTAAGCTAGGTTACACCAGGGACCTGTTTCACAAAGCTTTTTTTCAATGACAAATGACAAACATCAGTGACAAATCTGTTGATAACCAATCAGAAGCAAGGATTTCAGTAGCTTATAACAACTGTCATTTGTCACTGATGAGAAGTTTTGTGAAACGGGTCCCAGGAGTGGAAAGACTGCTGTGTGTTGGGTTTGAGTGGTGAACAGCGAAAAATAAAATACACAGGAGGGGTAGGCAATATAGCTCTTGAAAGCCCCCCCCCCCCCATCCCTTAATGCTGTGGTAAACATGAAAAGAGCCCTGGTAAAAAGCAATAAAATATTGATATATCACTTTGAAAAAAGAAAAAAAATTGCACTTACACACAACCATCTCCTGTAAGAAAGCTTGCAAAAAAGGAATTTTTACACTGGTGAAGAACCATTATTTGCTTCGGCGATGTTTCCTTGGGGCTTTATTTTGTAAAAAGATATAGGGTTAAGGTTGTGGTAGTGATGGAGATTTTGATTATGATAATAAGGTTCAGGGTGAGGTACAGTCTTGTGTCTTAAAATTGAGGTTAGAATTTTGATTGCATCAAATGGAATGCAAAGCCTTTGTGCCAGGAGCGTATGTTGTATAACTGGTTTAAGCAGTGCCCTAGCTGTCTTATAAAGAGTTAACATTATCACAACGTACTTGTGATTGATATCAATTGCAACTAAGCAAATAACAGATAGGGGACTGCAAACTTGCGATTGATTCAGATCAATTGCAACTCTTTATAAGACAGGCCTAAATGTAGCACCGTTGTATACCTGCCAACCCTTACAGATAATCCGGAATATTCAGATTTTTCAAAATTTTGTTGCTTAAGCCAAATTAAGCTTGTTTAATCATATGCCGGGATTTGAGAGTTTAGGTATTGCGTGCATAGTCTGGTTGCATGATCAAAGCAGCGAATTAGTATTCGCTTTTTGGTACAGATTTACCTCATATTGCCAGTTACACTGCCGTTGCAAGTGCAATTTCTTATTTTCTAAGGCATACCGTGCTAAAAATTCCTAATTCTTATTTTCAAATGTTGGTAGGAATGCCGTTGATATGTTATTATGAAGATAAAACTGTGTATAGGCATGATTTGTCTTCGAGCTCACTTCACACTATTAAGTAATCATGTACGTTGTTGAATCCAGTCTTATGCAGGTCTGAAGGAAGCCCTCAAGGTCTGCGCAGCTTACCGGGGAACGTACCTAGACAACAAGGACAAAGCTGATGAACTCAACGCTGAAAGGGTCTCAGAGACCGCCGAGGCAATGTAAGTTGGATTTTTATTTTAAAACCTTTGATGGAACTGTGGCCGTATTGAATTGGATTCTTATGTCAGAAATATGTGCATTTTATTCAGTTTCAGTTTAACACAGTGTTTTTTTTTTTTGTGTGTGTGGTGTACTAAATGACTGGCAAGTGGGGATAAAAATAAAAGAATGGCCAATGTCCTGCGTGTACTCGGGTATCTGTGTGTGACGAGATACAAAAATGTAAAGTGCAGTGCATGTATGAACTTTTATTCCCATACATGCATGTGAGTTTTTCTTGTGATATATCGTCTGCTGAGAGCTGGCAGTGTGTTTACCCATGTTTACAGTGTTAACGCACCCTTCTTTTTCTCAAACATTTATGATCACAGGATTTGTCTACGGTATATTGATATTGCATATGATGGACAGTTTTGGAAAACAAATTTCAGTGTTATGTTTGGACAATAAAACTTGAATCTTGAAACTTGCCTCATTCAAACGAAAATCATCTAATGAAGGAATTTCTATCTTATGTTTAACTAGCCTTTTCTCTTTACTTTACTTTTATCTTTACTTTGTATAATTATCTGCGGCTATTGGCCAATAACCTCTGCTGGCTCCTCCATATTCTTTGAATTGTTGATATATTTGCTTATATGTATAATGTATTGTTGAATGTATTTTTTACGAGAATTGGACGAAAAAAAATGAATGAATGAATGAATCCTTTCTCTTTTACTATATACTTATCTTCAGGAACCTGAACCCACCCAAGGGAGTGCTCTACAACAGCCGTCTCTACAGCGGCGCTCAGAAGCGACCTCCGACCCGGCAGTCGGCTACAGAGGTGTGGCGAGACACAAGCACCAACAGCGCAGTGGTGATCAATGAGGATGAGTGGAGCGATTCACCGTGGCCTCCAAGGAACGCTCCTTGCTTCAACCTGCTGAACAGCTTCATGGAGAGGTAAGTATCCTTTCTCTTGTCTCCAATCCATAGTCTTGGCCTATTTTAACCATATCAAGTTGGGGTAAATATCTTTCTTTTTTCTGCTCCGTGCTTTAACTGGCTTAATAGCTTCACAGAGGGGTTCAATCCTTTTGTATTAACCTTGAAATGACCCGGTGGTTGGGGAAGGGAGGGGGTGGAATCCACCCCTGGATGCTTGCTGTAATATGCTAGAGGAACATTTTTGTAAAACTGCAAACTATTATAACTTTACATCCCAGGGGGTTGAATCTGCATTTTTATCATTAGATGAGAGAGAGAGAAAATAAATCAGAGCTTTTTAATGTCATCAAGTTCAGTGGATGAATATTCTTTGTTCGGTCACTCTCTTCCGTCATTAAAATGTTTAATTCATTTGAGAACTGAGCCTTCTATACCATTATCAGTATTGATAATACTTTCTTTCTACTTTTTTTTTCTTCGCGAATCTTCCATAAAAAAAGAAAAAAATTAATCAGTGGTGATTTTGAAAGTTGAATGTTTCAAACAAGCAGTGAATTGATATAATCTGTTTAATGTCATACAATTAGGATCCATAAGATGTTCATTATCACGGAAATGGACAAAATGCTGACTATTAATGTCTCTAATTATTCCCCTCTGCATTTATCTTCTTACACTTCAAGTTCTCCATAAGTTTGTTCAAGCCTCATTACATTACACAACATTAGACCTTCTGTTAATTGTGCTTAATCATATGTTAACCTTGTTTATTTACTGTTAATGTCTAGAATTTTTGCAATTTCATTAGTAAATGTTAATCTGTATATGTTACACCATTGAAAAATCAAATATCCAGAAATCAACAATAAATACTAAATACAATTACGTTTCACCATCTTTTTCATCCTCCAGATGCAACGACTTACTAGAGCTGGTCCAGACCACCAGGCACTTCAACCTCCTCCAGAAGGCCGCCGAAGTGGGCGGGGCTGGAACCAAGAGCTTAGATGCCCTCGTCAGAGAGATCCATCTTGAGTTCACGACCTCCATGGATCACTTCGGGTCAGAGGTCAAGGATATCTTGGACATCACAGAGAGCCAGGCCTTTGAGAGGGCATTCTTCATGTTCAGATCTGTCGTAAAAGTAAGAATATTGGTTTTAATATGTGTCAAAGGACTCAAAGCGTCTGAAGTTGAACTGTTATTGACAGGGATGCGGGTTTTAAGGCAAAAGCCTGAATTCAGGCCCTGGGGAATAATTTTCAGACCATAGTTAAGGCTTTCTTGCGTACAAAATAGCTCATTCTAGGTGATTTTCAGGCTCTCTGATCAATTTTTACTGGCATCCCTGTATTGAGTCTTTGGTTTAACTGCAACTCTTTAAAGCGGGACTGCACTGCTTGTAGCTACTTGCGCCCTCTATACAGCCAACAATGCCTAAGCGGTACCCGTTGATTCCCCTAGTCCCCTTTTTCTTATGTTAATTGAGAGCTGACTTGATGAAATAACCGCTTGTCAGTGACCATGCAGGGAGGTCTAATTCCTCCTGGCCATAATAATGCAGATAGGCTTTAACCTCACCATGCATCAGTACGATGCAGTAGGGTAAGATTTAGGAGAACATTACAGTTAGAATTAGGATTGGAGTTGGGGTTTGGATTGTGGTTAGAATTAGGGTTAGGAATAGGGCTAATTGTGTTGCAACATATTCTGCAGTTGTTCTGAGTCTTGTTATGTAAGGAATTGTTGATTTGCATCCATTTATTGCTCCTTTTTTCAATGTACTATATTTTTGTCCTGGTTTTGAAATTGCTTGCATTGTTTTATGGATAGATAAATAGACCTTACTAAATACTAGACCTTCCATAATGTAGTTGAGATTTGAGTCATACTGTAGTCAACTTTTGACAGAATTTCTGTTCTTGGTCTTGATTTAGGACTTGCTTTTGATGTTTTAGTCAAGATTGTAATGTTTTGTTCTGCAAACCATTTATCGTCACATTTGATTCTCTCTTTGAGCTGCTTTCCTTTATGGATTTAGTATATGTGGATAAATCACCAAGCTTTGGTGATTACCTTTGACAGGCCAATGGCCTTTGTTGATCCCTCGCATCCACCACCCTTCATCCTTCTTTCATAGTGCCATGTCCATAAATGTTGTTATACTTATATTGTTTAATTGAAACTAATTTGTGTGAATATCTTCTAATGTACAGAAGGTATGCAGTTGCACCTTGTGAGAGAGAGGGAGGATTGGGAAGTCCTGAAAAGGACTCTGGATAATCTTACTTTCTTGAGTGTTTTTAAAGAGATGTGAAATAAGATTGAATTGAATTGAATAGATTAATTTCTAGCTTCTTTGTATTCCACATAGGACCTTGAGAGACGATTAGCGAGTGTCCTGCGGCAGAGCTTCTGCCAGTGTCCCTCCATCGGTTCCCAGCTGCGTCTCCTGGAGGTCTTTGAGGGTGTCAGCGGCCGAGAGATGGTCCAGGAATACCTCAAGGACAAGGACCGGGCCCTGATCAATTCCTTCACCAACGAGCTGATAGCCGTCCGGACCATGTTCATTGCCAAGTCCAGCGAGCCCCCGCTCCATGCCAACCTGCCACCCATCGTCTGCAAGCTGACCTGGGTCGGAGCACTCAAAAAGCGGATCAAGGTGGGCAATTTTTTATTTTTTATATTGCATGGTATAGATTGTGTGCTTGTATGTCTCCCATTATTACATTTATCATGAACCCATTCTGAAGGCTCATTCACATCTTCACAAATGTTGCCAGCAGTAATTTTCACACCTAGAAACTTCATAATTTGCAACACTTGTAGTGTTGTGTTAATGGTGATTAATTTATCTCACTGCATTAATCTTTTAGACATCTAAACCACTCACAAATTTGCGAATATTTCATGCATGCGAAATGATGGCTTAACAATGTTCTACCATAAATATATCTGAGGGATTTTGCCATTATGTTTGTTATTATATATGCCCCTCAAGAAACCATCGTGTTCCATTCCCTATATTATAATGAGACAGTCCATTTTGTGCACAGGAACCCATGGCAAAACTGAAGAGGGTCAGTCCACACTCTCTGGATGGGGATGCTGGCTGGCATCTGAGGGACATTTTTAATGACAGCATGACCGACCTGGATAAGTATGAAGAGAAGAGTGTGAGTGATTGGCAGAGGATGCTACACAGTGAGCTCAGGGATAGACTCAAGCAGCCATTACTGGTAAGATTATCACAGATGTGAATTCGATATAGGTATACTACAGGGCCCCGTTTTACAAAACTTGTCATCCGTGACAAATGACAGTTTTTGTAACAAGCTACTGAAATCCTTGCTTCTGATTGGTTAACAGCAGATTTGTCACTGATTTTTGTCATTAAAAAAGGTTTTGTGAAACAGGTCCCTGCTTGTAGTAGGTTTAGTGAGGCAAAAATGTTATACTCACATTTGCAATATGAATGAAGAATGACAGATATCATATTTTAAATATGCCGAAGAGGAAATGAAAAGAAAAAAATATGTTGTAAATAAAATCCATGAGAATCATGATCATACCCATGCATTTTGCATATAAAGGTTTTTTTTTAGAGATAAGAAATAAGTGCACTTACTTAATAATAAAAGTTTACGAAACAGGTGTCATTGAGTATAATTAAAAGAACAATACAAAGAAATTAGAAATGATGTGTTTTAAGGAATGTCTTGAAAGCTGTAAGAGATGGACAATTTTATATTTACAGAGTTCTATATCTTCCTCTTAATATAAATGGATTTAGTAGCATTTTAGTGTGGTATTGATAATTTCTTTTATTGTAGAAATAGAATCTGTGGAGAATTATAAGATTGACTTTTGAGGCCTCTGATTTAATGCTTTTGATTAGGAAACTAGATATTAAAGCCTTCATTGCGTTGCTTTCAAAGGCCATTCTCTATTTATCATTGAATTTGCTCCCTCTGCATATCCGACAGACTTTCAAAACCCATCTCAAAACTTACCTGTTTCATTTGTAATTTTTGACATTGCAATTGATCAATGTATTATAATTAAATATGTTACTCTAATTGATTTTTCATAAATGTTTGCTATCTGTATTTACTTTGCTCTTAATGAATTAATACATTCAGCTGCATGTCTTTAGTTTCAGTTTTTTTTATTTCCTTCTTGTAACTAGCTAAATATACTTCTACATGTAACTTCTAACTCTTGCAGACGGCTGAAGACTACGACGAAGAGACCGAACTCCGACCCCAGGTCCTGCACGTAAACCTTGACCCCGAGTTGCTGCTCCTACTCCGTGAAGTCCACTACCTCGCCCAGGCACCCTTCAACGTCAAGCTCCCCGACGGTGTAAGAGAACTCCTGAGGCACACCGACGGGGCGACGCTACGCACGACAGCGGCCAGGCTAGAAACTATAGTGTCCAAGTATAACCAGGCCATGAGGTCCATTGTGGATTTCGAGAGACCTCTGTTTGAGAGAAAGCTAGGCAAAATCGACCATGTAAGTCTCACTGGTTCTATTGTCTTTATTGTATTTAATTGCATGTTCATGTCTTTGGGTGTATGAGTTCAGGGCCCTGTCTTAAAAAGAGTTATGATTTATCCAAATCAATCGCAAGTCCTCCAATCGATCGCAAGTTGCAGTCTCCTATCTCTTACAGTATGTACATAGTAACAATTGATATCAACTCTTTATAAGACGGGGGCCCAGATGTTAAAGGTCACAGGATTAATAATTGCTTGAGCATTGGCAGTACAGGCACATTGAAGAAAATATTTATCATTTGGGACCATGATGTATAGATATAGAGGAAAAATTGCCCTTGTACCTCTTTGTGGACTTTCACTGTTTCTGTCTCACTCAGCTGCTGGAGCAAGGTCTGAGTCACTACACCTGGAAGACGACGGAGAGCGCCGATTTCATCGAGCTCGCCTCGTCCCTGGTCGGAGCTGACCTCCACCGGACGCTGGCCATCGTCCAGTCCAACTGCCAAGAGATGGTGGAGATTACGCAGAAGTGGTCAAGCGGGGCACTGGACGTCTATGAATGCAGGGCACCGATTGTCAGCTATTCCATGGATAAGTTGCTGGAATGGCAAAGGTAGGTCCAGTGAGATGTAGACAAGAATGCAAGGCAGACAGAAGAAAACGGTAGAGAGTGAGAGATATTAAGAGAGAGAGAGAGAGAGAGCGATAGAGTGAGAGGGGAAGGGGAGGGGGGGGGGGGGGAGGCAGGGAGGCAGAAACACACACGGCCACACTATTCAGAGAGAGAGAATTTTGAAAATTTGAGAGAATTTGAGATATAGACAAGAATGCAAGGCAGACAGAATGAAACAGTAAAGAGTGAGAGATATTAAAAAAGAGAGGGGGAAATAGAGAGAGAGAGAGAGAGAGAGAGAGGCAGACACACATACACATGCCCACACTATCATAAACACATATAAGCAGGAAGACAGACAGAAGGGTAGACTGGAAAATAGATACAGAGAGGGAAGAAGGCAGAAAGACAGAAGGTGAAAGGGGGAAAGAGAAAGGGATCGAGATAAAATTTCAGAGAGAAACAAATTTGAGAATTGAAACACAGGAGCTAAAGAAGGGTAAGGACAGATAGAGAAGATAAATAATCATGTACGGAAAAGGAAAGAAAAGAAACAGACCTTCATTTTGTTCAGATAATAATTATAATAAAACTGAAGAAAACCCCCCAGAATCTCTTCTGTCAAAAATGTTGGAAGATTATTGGACAGCAGGAAAATCGCTTTTGGATGATTCATGACAAACAGTAATTTAGCTGAAATGGTTAAAATGCAATGGTTTATCACTATTTTAATCAGATCACCTTCTATAACAAAGTGAAAAAGACATGTTAGACATCATTTCATGTATGCAAATTTGTTTTCTATAGTAATCATGTACCATTTGAAACTTTGACTATATCCACACTCATCTATAGATCCCTGAATGCTAAACTAGTTAAAATATCATCACTATAATCAGATCACCTTTTATATCAAAGTTAAAATGACATCATAGACATCATTTGATGCATGCAAGATTGTTTTCTATAGTAATCATGTACCATTTGAAACTTTGATTGTCCACACTGATCTATAGATCCCTGAATGCTAAAATAGTGAAAATGCAACGGTTTATCACTATAATCAGACCACCTTTTATATCAAAGTGAAAATGACATTTTAGACATCATTTTAAAGATGCAAGTTTGTTTTCTATTGTAATCATGTACCATTTAAACTATCCACATTTATCTATAGGTTCCTAAATGAGGTTAAAATGACATTTTAGACATCATTTCGTGCATGAAAGATTGTTTTCTATGGTAATCATTTACCATTTAAAATTTTGACTATCCACATTGATCTATAGGTACCGGGCATGGTGGCTCAGTGGTTCGAGCGCCCGCCTCATGAACGGGAGGTCGTGGGTTCTAACCCGGCCGAGTCAAACCAAAGACTTATAACAATGGGACCTTCTGCCTTCTAGCTAGGCGCTCAGCATATTAGATTGGAGAAGGGTGGTAATAACATATTATGTTATGCAGGGCCTCGCTGAAAGAGCAGTTTTATAACTGAAGTGGCTACCCTGGGTAAATAAAACGTTATTATTATTATTGTTATTATTATAGGTCCCTGAATGAAGAAATGGAGAGACTTATCAAGCCCTCGGGTCTACGGATCCATGCCATGCTGCAGAACTCGTTTGAGGTGGTCCAGATCAGTCGGGCCTCTCCAGCCTGGGAGGAGTACGTGGACCACATCGATGCCCTGGTCCTGGATGGACTCAAGCAGACCTGTCTGAAGAGTCTCAGGTCCATGCTCAACACCCTGGTCCTGGCAAACGTGTCTGAGGTAAGGAGGATTTCAAGGGGTCAGTGACACAAAGACGTAACTCCCATTTTGGCTATTTTGAGAAAAAGTGGTTTATGTGTCACTGAGCACTTGGGCCTTAAGGAGTTAAGTCTATGATTCACTAGCCATTGACTCCAATGGGGTGTTGGGTGGAGTTAAGTCTTTGTGTTACCTGGAAAGCCCACATAAGGATGGTTTACAGATCATGAGGGTGTTTCACAAAGACTAACATTGACTTTAAGTTGGACTTAACTATGGCAGGCCGTTCATGCCAATAGTTCCTCTAACCATTCCTGGCATTAGTTTCTCAAGGGACGTATAAATCGTGGTCACAAATCTACAGAGTTTACATCTTTCTGATTGTTCATTATTGAAGGAAAAAACATTGTCCGAAGATCATAATTGAGAGACGTATAAATCGTGGTCTCAAATCTACAGAATTTACATCTTTTTGATAGTTCATTATTGAAGGAAAAAACATTATCTAAGGATCATGATTGAAAGACCAATAGTGAGAGCAATCATTGGCGTGAATGGCTTGCCATAGTTAAGTCCAACTTAAAGTCAATCTTAGTCTTTGTGAAACACTCCCCATGTCATTCAAATTTGAAAGTAGGAACATTTGAGGAGTCTCTGGAATCTAACACTATCATTGTGATATATTTAAAATATTTGTCCATCTCTTCCTCTGTGTTTCAGACCGAAGAGCCAAACATCCCAATCTTGACCATACGCATGGAGCTGGTGGAAAACACAGTGACCTACACCCCTCCCCTTGACCAGAGCACCGCAGTGACCAGCGTCCTGGAGAACGTCAACCGATGGCTGGAGCAGTTCAGGGCTCGAGGGGCACTGGTCAAGATGCTCAGCCCTCTGGCAGAGGTGAGAGGTCATCAAAACTCTTTATGTGTGTGTGTGTGTATATTTGGTTTTTACAGACGTGTTTCAATCAGATATGATTATTTACGACTGGGGACCAACCTTTAAGCGTCTCTATCTAAAAACGTGACTCAGTTTCGAACTTGCATCCTCGGCTGAATCAGTTTGTAACTTCCATTGTTAGCTGGATAACAGGCGCACGCCACAACGCCTAGTTGCCTTTGATGTCATTTATAGATGTCATTTATAGATGCAGTTGGGCATTTCTTTACCAAACTAGTTAAAGCTGATGCTGGGTTAAGGCCTAGTTTAAGTAGAGTTTTAGAAGGTGTTAAGCCTGTCTGTACTAGTTTGGCCAGGAGGGATTAGACCACCCAGCGTGGTCACTGACAGGTGGTTATCTCATCAAATCAACTCTCAATTAACATAAGAAAAAGGAGATTATGGGGGACCAATGGTCACTGCTTCGGCATTGTTTGCTATATAGAGGGCGCAAGTAGCTATAAGTAGTGCAGTGGGGCTTTTAGTAGAGTTTAGGAAGTGTCAAGATCTAAGATGACTATTTAGTAAACCTTCCTGCAAACCAGACTGCCAATAGAATACAGACCCGTAAGCTCTCAGTGGACTATTATATGCTTTACTGACAATGCTTCTAGGCTTGATTTCATCAAAGATATTTTAAGGTTAGGGTTGCGATTGGGTTTTAGGTTTTAGGATTGAGCATTTGTCAGGCAATAAGGTTCTCACACTCAGTTTTTGTTGGTGATGAAGCCCCAGGAAACCATTGTAATTTTGTAGATTTTTAGTGTGTGTAGATGTTGCTTTGGTAATGCAAGCAACTTGCATTCATACCATTGTCATACATCCATTTAGTAGTTAACCTCAGTTTGACACTAATATTTAAAAGGAGTCATTACAATGCAATGTTTACATGATTGCATTTTTCCTGACATTTAAACAAATCTTCTTTGTTTCCAGGGAGGATACAAGGATTACATCAGTGTAGATGATGAGGTCATTGAACTTTGTGAGAAGATCATCAGTCTGGTCAGAGAGAACAGTGAAGAATGCAAGGTAAGATGCAACAAAAGATCCTACAATTCTTGTTGATTATAGCATTTGTTAAGAAAAGAAGACAAATCAATGTTTTGTGTTTTCACTTGCTTTCTTTTTGTTGAAATCACTTGTATTTTGGCCTTTCTGTACTTTAGAAATACAATAGAAGATCGTTAAATGTAACAGTGTTGTAGTAGGTCCTGGCCTTAAGGCACCTTAAAGCCTACTTTTTAACCATCCCTTGGTCTTGGCCCTTGGGCATGGATGCCTTGGCTTTGGCCTTGAGGGCTCAAGCTTTGTCTTTGAGGGGTCAAAGCATTGGCCTTGTCTTTGGCCGGTCAATGCCTTGGCCTTGAGGATTTGGGCCTTGACTACAACAATGATTAAAAAATGGATTTTAGGGTGTGTCTTGCCAATATAAAGCAGTTATGTCATTTCCCCGAGTCCAAGTGGCATGTATAAAGAAAATGCTGGCAGCGTTTGTGATTAAAAGCTTAGCCAGAAGAAGGGTTGGGCAGCCATTTTGGAAGAAAAGTGTTCCTCCTTTTCTTGCAAGAAAGCAGGATCCTGAACACACATTTTGCTTTGTCTTATATTTTATTTAATTATGATGTACTTGCTCAGTTAAAGTTTTATGTAGATAAAGGTATTTCCCCTTTTATAAACGTGCATAAACTCTTTCATTCAAACATTCAATTATTTACAAATGATCACAAGGACAATTGCATCTGCAATCAGTCAGCTTTGATGATCCAAATTAATCAATTGTTTTTCTTATCTTACAGAAACTCCTGGAGCTCTTCAAGAGTTACACCTTTTTATGGATGCATGACATCAATGAGACATTTGATGAGTTCCTTCATGGCCGCTTGACCCCCAATCCGCTCCGTGACCCTCAGAAACTCAGTCCGTCTGCACGCCTGAGGTCAGCTGCCTCCGAGCGCTCGGTCAAGTCTGCTCACAGTGGAAGGTAAGATTTAGGATGATGATAGGAATAGATGTTTGAAGTGTACAGTGTAGTTTTAACCTGGGCCTTAAAACTTGTTATCAGTAACGAATGCTAAACTTCTATGACAAATAAGCTCTCAGCCAATCAGATGTCACAATTCCAGTAACTTATAGCAGTTACTGTAACTTGATATCAATTTTTATGAAACAGGGCCAAGGAGTAGTACTTCATAGTCATTAGTTTCAGGGTCTAGCTATATATTTTAAGGCATTTCAGAATTACAGTGAAACCAGTCTATAAAGACCACCCAAGGGAGACAAGAAAAGTGGTTTTGATAGGTAGGTGGTCATTGTAGACAGGTGCCTATTGTACATTTTTCAATGAGAAACCTTTTCAAGAGATACAAAAATGTGATCTTTGTAGACTAGTGGTCACTAAAGCAGGTTTGACTGTACTAGATACAAAAATTGCCATTTTTGTTTCATTTTCAGGGCAAGTTCTGCATCTAACTACAGCATCAGTCACACAGGAGCCATGGGAACAGCAGAGAAGGCTTTCCTCTCACCCAAAGATGAAGACGAGGAGGTTGATGTGCCGTCCCTTGACCTGTTTGATAGCGAGATTGACATATACATGGTGAGGGGGGAAACATATTATGTAGAGTCCTATACAATTTATTACGTAGTATTGTAGTAGATTGATAGTATAATTTTCTGCTTCATGGTGGAGCTGGCAGTAGACAGCAAGCTTATACACCTGTATGCCATTCAAAGCCATTTTGGGAAAACAGCATACATTTAGACTGCCAGAGATGAGATACCGGTAGTTGCAGTGGTTGTATGCCATTCAAAGCCATTTTGGGAAAACAGCATACATACTTCAATTTTATTACTTTTGCTTTATTTTATTTCTTAATTTTTTTAGACTGCCCGAGATGAGATCGTTGCAGTGGTAGATCAGCGTGATGTGGGCTGGACCCGTTGTGACCTGGAACCAATCAAGCAGGTCCTGACGACCTACGCCAGCCGGTGGATGTGGACCTTTACCAAGTATCTCTCAGATCAGGTAAACCTTGCAGAACTTTTGTTACATTCAGTTTTAGATCCTTTAGTGATTGTATTTAGGTATGACATTTAATGATTTCAAGTTGGGTATTAGTGTTAGTGTTTAGAGTAGTCGAGAGCTCACAAAGGTCGATTCAGCACACAACAATTTTTCAAAATCGATAACACTAGCTACCGGAAGTTGACAATATTCAGAGGTCAAAGCCTTAACACCAGCTGATTTCCATTTCAGTGTTTATATAGTGCTGGTCTTAGTGATTATTAAACACTAACACGAGCCCTGAACACCCAACTTGAAATCATTCATTGCCTTACCAATTGTCTCATATGACAAATCTATGACAAATCTGCTTCTAGTCAATCATATGTAAGGATTTCAGTAGCTTGAAACAATTATTGTATCTTGTTTTGGATGACAAGTTTCATGAAACAGGGCCAAGGTCAGAACAAGAAGAAGTAAGGCGTCTAGAGGACTGTACTACTGTTACTACTGAAAGAGGACTAATATACCAATACTTAAAGGGGGTGTAGCATGACGAGACTATGTGTCTTTTCCATGGCCTGACTTGGGGCTAATCGGGTATAATACGACTACAGACAACAGACGCAGTATTCACGTGCGTGCAACTTATGCAAAACTAAAGCGTGAGGAGAACTTTGGTCTGTTAAGCGAACGCTAGCCTGGCTGACCATTAATCAAGTCCATTTGTTTACGTGCAGTTGTCCAAAAGAACTTGTAGATGACTTTAACCAGTATTTGCCATGCTACACCCCCTTTAACATAATTATTCTATGTTCTATTCTCATTTGTTGTAGGTGACTGCACTGCTCCAGGATCTGGACTTCTTCCTGAAGCGCATTGAGCCTGAGATTGAGTGTATCTCAGGAGAGGAGAGAGATACCGCCTCCTTCATGAAGATGATGCGCATATTCAATGAGGTAAGTTGGTTAATTTAGCCATTCTTTTGGATGTCTGCACACCTTTTGATGGATGTGAATGATTATCTCTTCTGTTACCACAGTCACAGCAACAAGACCAATACCATTTCGACACCAGACCGACCTAAATATTACGTTACCACTATTGGCCAAGCTGGTTTGGAGTCGATTTGGAGTTAGTTTGGTGGGTGTGATAGATCTCCATAGGTGTCTACTAAACAGAAAGAGATGGATTGTCAGTTCACCGCCATTAACAGAACGGTCCTACTCTCTAGGAAGTATAACACGGCCCTACCAGAGAGAACTGTTTCTCAAGATTTAAGGCTTAAATCCCCACTGTTCTACTTGTAGCTACTTGCTCCCTCTATATAGAAAACAATTCCTAAGCAGTGCCCATTGGTCCCCCATGATACTCTTTTTCCTAGGTTAATTGAGAGCTGAGTTGATGAGATAACCACCCGTCAGTGACTGCGCCTGATGGTCTAATCCCTCCTGGCCAAACTAGTACAGATAGGCTTTAAAATAATATTTTTTTCTTTCTTGATGCTCATCATAGGTCTCTGCCAAACAACAGGAGATGGACGGTCAGTTCACTGCCATGAACAGAACGGTCCTGCTTCTCAAGAAGTATGGCCAGGCCCTGCCGGAGAGGACTAAGTCCCTCTACGACGCAGCCCCAGGCCGATGGAACAACCTCAAGACCAAGGTCTCCCTCGCCAAGCAGAGACTTGGACCAAGAATCCAGGGAGAATCAGCCAGTATCACAAAGGTAGGGTAAAACTTGAATGGAACAATTTCCCCAGTCAAAAGGAAAATCTGAAATTTTCATTTTTCCCTCATCACAATTTAAAATCATACATGCACCTTAAATATAGTTACTGCTAATACGTTTCTAAACAACCCCTGTATGGTAAAAAATCTATTCCGTCATCAATAACAAAGGAAAATAAAAAGTTTATTAAATTTGATTTTCAGAGCACATTTCTTTTTTAAACTGGAATTTACGCAAGCTTTCAATGACTTGTTTCTCTTATTTTTCAGCTTCTATGAAAACCAACTTAATACCAGGATGGACTTTCCCATTTGTTACTGAGTTAGCACTGGATTCTCTCATTCATTTTATAGTTAAACAGAGAAACTTGTTCTAGTTTTTTTTGGAGCTTGCCAAGTATTATGAGCAAGTAGAGGTCTCAAACTATGCTGTCTCTGCAATCCCAATCACTATGTCCATTCTTTTCTCTTTTTAGGACCTTGCTGAGTTTGGTGAGCGAGTGGAAGCATTGAACTCTGCCCTCGCTGCGTCAGAGGTCTACACCTGGGAGTGCTTCCTGGACGATGCCTTCTCTGAGATTGACAAGTTTCAGAGGAAGCTGGAGGAGCTAGACAATGAAGCACAGGTAAAGTATCGATACAGACATTACATACTAGATTCTGACATAGAAAACACAACCATCCTCTAGGACAACTACCCCTGGGACAACTATCCTAAGGGGTAGTTGTCCTAGGGGAATAGTTGTCTGGGGGGTAGTTGTCCGGGGGGGGGGGGTAGTTGTCCTGGGGGTAGTTGTCCAGGGGGTAATTTTCCTAGGGGATAGTTGACTGGGGGTGGTTATCCGGGGGGTGGATGTCCAGGGGGTAGGTGTCCGGATACGGAATGTTGAAGGTGAACGTTGAAGGTGAATGTTGAAGGTGAATGTGAAAGGTTGATGGTTGAGAGGTTGAAAGTGTATTCTAAATATTTCTTTTTGAATGACATTTTTTTGAGTTTTAGCTGTCATGATTGACTGCAAAGAAAAAGGCTGAAAAAAGCCACTAGTTTTGAAGAAAATGTGTATAAATGTAATGAGAGATAAGCACAAATATGTAAATGGGAATTTATGATAAAAACCATTGTTGTAGGTCATGTTTTACTGGTTTGATGATCAAGAAGACCAGAGAAACTTTATTTAGTGTATGTATGATTTTGAATGATATAACTTACTTCACTATTCAAGAAATTTACATAATTGTTATTCCCAAACTATCCCATATGGACATCAACAGCTATTAAACCATTGGCCGAGGTAAAATATATGTTTATTAGACAAAATGAAGTCAGACGAGCTCGCACGATATATATATGCTGCAATTTTGTTTCATGTTTCGTAGAAAAAGGGCACAAATGTATCAGCCACATTTATTAATGTACAATTGCTTTGCATGAGTATTAGTTGATTCGCATATTCTGTTTATCTGCACCATGTCATGCCTAGTTGCTTTCATTTGTGTTTTTGGTCAATGTTTAATCTGCATTGCTTGGAAAATATAACAAATGAGCACATGTATTTTGTACATTAAAAAAAAGCCTAACTGGTATAAAGAAAAAAAAAAGGCCTCAAGTTGTATTTAAATGGTAGGAAATGCTTTTATTGTAATAGCTTGCTACTTTGGCAATACAGTTGAAACATGTATTCTAGCATTTATTAGCACAGATCGCACTTATATTTTTGCATGTTCTGTTTTATTTCTTAAATTGCTTTTGACTACATATTTCTCATGACAGATTGAGGAAGTGACATTTACGCTCAGTTGCTGCTGTGGCAAATTGAGTGTCCATCCATAGCACCTTTTCTAAGTTTTGCTACTGTCTGCATGATTATGAAGTATTATTTTTTCATTAAAGGCTATATTCATGCAGTAGCCCAGGAGAAATGAAGTATATATCATTAGTGAACCAAGAACAAATTTCATTCTAAGACACAAAAATTACATCTGCGGCATTGATTAAAAATGCTATGGTTGTAATGAGTTCTAAAGATTTCCTTTCATTAAAACCCACTGCACTACTTATAGCTACCTGCGCCCTCTATATAGCAAACAATGCCTAATCAGTGACCATTGGTCCCCCTTGGTCCCCTTTTTCTTATGTTAATTGAGGGCTGATTTGATGAGATAACCACCTGTCAGTGACCACGCAGGGAGGTCTAATCCCTCCTGGCCAAACTAGTGCAGAATGGCTCTAATCCTAAAGTTGGTGAATGACCTTTATTTTTACGCTTTGCGCTTTTTCTACGTTTCTAAATTTTCATTTTTTATTTCTACACCGTTCTTTGTCATTGTAGGACTTGATTGAGCTTCAGGATCTGCTGGAGACAGCTGTAGTGAACTTCACCATCTTGCCAGAGTAAGTTGATGATTTGTTTGCTTTATAAATGATTCTTACTTTTTGTCAATGACATCACTAGCTTATTTTTGTTTGCCATTGTGTTTTCAGCCCTTGCAAATATTTACAATATTAACAATTAATTTCTTACACTATTACAACAAAAACATACAGTGCGAAAATGAGCCACACAACCTCCATTAGGCATGGAGCACTGTTAGAACTCTATAGAAAAACAACAGCAGCAAAAAAAAAAAAAAATATGAATTAAATTAAGAAATGAGAATCCCAATACATGTCACGTGCAGATAGATTTGCATATCCAAAAGTTCTGCTCATTTCTGTATTAATAGTGCCAAATGTAAAATGATTTTATTTTTTATTCTTTAGGTGCCGTCATGAGCTACACAACCTGCATGAGGTCTGGGACACCGTGAGAACCCTGCAAGAGCAACAGCAGGAGTGGAAGCAGGAGAGATGGCAGACCATGAACACCAAATACCTCAGGGAAGCTACCAATGATCAACTAACGACTGTCAAGACGTTACCTGATGAGACGCATAGCTGGGATGTGACACGAGGCCTAGAGGAATCAATTCTTGTCATCCAGGTGAGATAGCTTTGTGTTTCTTTAGAAACATATAATACTGTCAATCTATCGAAGCTCTTCAACCAATGTCAGCTCCGGCAACATTTGCTTCAGGTTTCATTTTGTTAGAAATATAGGGTTATAGATCAGGTTGAGAAGAGGTTTTATTTAGTTTTAGCATTAGGGCAAGCAGTAGCTTTAGGGTTAGGGATAGGGTTTTGGGTTAGGTTTAGGATGGGTTTAGGGTTATGGTTAGGGTTAGGGATGTTGGATACGGTTAGGGTTAGGGTTAATTTTGGGATTAGGGTGAGGGTTAGATGACATGTTTGGTCAGTGTTGAAGTAGGGTACATTCTATTAGTGAAGGATACACACCATGGAGTAATTGTTGACAGAGCCTATCTCATACAACTCAAAATCAAGCAGAAAGGAAAATGATTTCAAGGAAATGAGGAGAACTGAATCTTAGGCCTCGCAAATAAATAATCTTTTCTTCCACAGGCATGTCTTCCATTGATTGAGGACCTGAGCAACCCCGCCATGAGGACCAGACACTGGAAGCAGCTAGTGCGGGTCACTGGGGGCGCCCTTGTCATTGACAATGAGAGCCTCATCAACATGACCTTTGGTCAACTACTTCAACTTGGTCTGCAAAGTAAGTTGCATTTCCCAGGAATTTGGTCAATCTTCACTTTTTGTGGAAATTTCTTGCATTGATATTAGTTGATGAAATATTGGAAACATGTTTTGGAGAACCATACTCGTAATTGATTAATTCTTACAGAAAGAATGATGTGATAACCAATTTATCTTGATTTAGCTTGATTTGAAGTAGTATTTCAGTAATCAGAAATTTCCTCTTCATGATTGTTTATTTATGTTGTTCTTATCCATTATGTGATAGCTCAAATTACAAACTAGACAATTGAGACCATTTCCAAAGATTGTACACCACAAGATTAATAGCTTGGAACTGCTATATCTCTACCATTCTTGCTATTTGTCTACATCTCTACATGGGCAGATGGATGTAATACTTTACTGAAAATAAAATAAAAGTTAGAATGTTATTCACCCTGTATATAAAGACCGCTCAAGAGAGACAAGAGAAGTGGTAATCATAGGCAGGTGGTCTTTATGTACAGATATATACAGCTGTCAAAATGAAACACTATTCAAGGGAAACAATAATTGTGCTCTTTATAGACAGGTGAACCTTTAAACTGGTGGTCACTAGAGTGGGTTTCACTTCAGTTTTAAACATTGTTAAATGCTTTGTCTGCGGTTTAAAGAATTGACAAACCAGTCATATATATATATCAGGGTCTTATATTCCAGCAACTCGGGTTTGAAACCAAGTTGATGCGCTAGTGCCCATCAACCTTGATTTGATGCACTAAAGCAGTCGGTTCACTGGGTGCTTACTTACAAGCATTTATATTTATGCTTTAATTCTTAGCAGTCAGGTAAAATAATCATCACACACAGATATCAATGTACATTTTTTGTTGTTTCATAATCATGACAACGACTTGCTTCTCACATTACTTTTCTCATTAAAATAACTCTCATTACTCTCATTCTCTTTCAGACCATGTGGATGAAGTAAGGGCCATTGTTCAGAGAGCTGTCAAGGACGTCACAATAGAAAGTGCTCTCAAGACCTATGAAGAGATCTGGCTCAGCAAACTCTTTGACCTTCGACCTCATGTTCGGCACATCGTAGTAGGGACCAGCGAGAAGAACGACAAAGATGTAAGTGAAAGAGTAAATAATTAACTACAATTTAGCCCTTTACTGTGATATGAATTTATTTGCCATCCTTTTATGCATATCAGCTCTTTCTCATAGAACTGTGGTTGTTCATTATTTTTTTTCCTCACTTTGGTGATTAGCATAATACATCCAATAACTTACAATCAAAGAGGTATGCAACCTGATTGACTTGAACAATCATTTGTTGTGATTATGCATGTAAGGGTTGGGGCAAGCTCAATTACGAAGGTATAGGGGCCTCTTGTTCCTTTTCATCTTCCAGGGATATCTATTGGTCCTTGTAGACAAAATTTCTTCTTCTAAAGAGCAGACCTGCTTTTATATATATATATATATATATATATATATATGTATAATCTGTGCAATGCTAGAAGATTAATCCTTCAAGCATTTTCCTCTCTTTTATTTTGTTTTGCAGCAACATTCCGACACCAAGAGCGAGATGTCCCAGAGCCAGAGTGACCTCGGTACTGCCATCACGGATACACGATCCCGACGTCGGACCATGAGCAGGATGTCAGCCCTGACCCTCGGAGCTGGCCGTCAGAAGAGGGCCAGTGTCTCCTCTCTTCCAGCGTCTCTGCTCAACTTAGGAGATGTAAGATCAGGGCCTCATTTCACAAAACTTGTCATCAGTGACAAATGACAGTTTTTGTTATAAGCTTCTGAAATCTTTGCTTCTGATTAGTTATCAGCACATTTGTCACTGGGACAGGAAATACCTCTATATGCTTAGCTTGAAATTTGGTTATAATTTTGGAGCAACTTTTAAATACCCCACCACAAAACTGACATATTTTCTTGCGTTACAGGACAATGGAAACCTATTCCTGCTGAAGGACACCGACCCCATCTTCACCGAGCTGGAGTCCCACCAGGTGGCCCTCCAGGGCATGCAGAGCAGCAGTGCAGCAGGGTCCTTCCTGGATGAAGTCACCAAGTGGCAAAAGAGGCTACAGACCATTGAGGCAGTCCTGACCGTGTGGCTGGAGGTCCAGGAGAAGTGGGTGGAGCTAGAAGAAGTAAGACATTTTCAAAAAATGATGCTGGTGTTGATGTTGGAAGTTGTACCAGAAAGAACAGAGGGGAGATAAGAAAGAAGCAGTTGAAAGAGGAAGACAACTGCTGAAAGATTATGAAATAACAGAAAAATTCTGTATAAAGACTTGGTTCTCTACTGCTAATTGTGATACCTCATACTTTGCTTTGATGGTCCAGTACTAGTTTTTGTGTTTCATGGTTTAAAGGGAGTGTTTCGTCAGTTTCCATGGGCAGAAGGTCATGATTCGCTGACCCCAGACTTGGTGGAAATACCATTAATGGGTGTACAAGTCTGCACACAGCAATGCTGTAGGTCTATCAAGAAATACCCCCTAGTCTCTCAGAGAGTCTATGGGTGAGGGAAATGTAAGATAATTACTATACCATATGAGGGAATGGATGGAAAATGCAAAGCATTACATATTAAAGGCCTGTTGGTCATAAAACTGAAGGCTAATCCTGGCGATTGACAACACCTGCTATACACCCAACCGGTGTTGAATTCCACATGAGAGCCCACTTCTATGTGTCTGTATTAAACATGTCTTTTAATCACCCACCAGGTATTCAGTGGAGCTGATGTAAGAGCGTCTCTGTCTCATGAAGCCAGTCTGTTCACTTCAGCAAACAGAGACTTCAGACTCTTCATGAGGGCATCAGAGAAGAATCCTAATGTCCTGCAATGCTGTCAGAGAAAATGTAAGTAATTTGTCTTTAAAGCCTCTATAAAGTGTTGGTAGCTCCTCAAATTTGATGGCAAAATTTCACCTAAATGGTATGATGATGTGAAAGAGGATGTCATTTAAGATGCAATTCTGCAATGATTTTCAAAACAAATGTGTTTGAAGACCAATATTGAAATAATACAGAATTGAGGTTTTTCTGCGTACAACACTAAACCCAAATATGGCATTCTGTCATAATCAATATTCGTCTTCAAATACATTGTTTTGAAAATCCTTGCAGAATTGTGTGTTAAATAACATACCCTTTCACATCATTGTACAATTTTAAATTAAATTTTGCCAACAAATTTTGGGGAAGTTTTGTGCTCCCAACACTTTAAGAGGGGCTTTAATGAAGTCTTTATTAAGGCATTTGATGTGGATTGCTTTATGTTGCAGTTCTCATATGACAAATGATATAAAAGATAAGTGAATCATTGAATGAAAGAAAAACGAATAAAAACTAAGGAATGAAGCGAAATATGGATTGAGTTCAATGTTGGGATTATTGATCAGGCAAAAGACTATGACATGGGTTAGGTTCTAGAAGAGTCTTTGACATTTTGTCAAAAGGCTTTAGAAGAATCTTTCAAACACGCAAATAAAAAGATAATAGTACTCAGAATAATAGCGAATGGATCGAAATAGTGAACTATGGAACAAATAAATCATAGTAATTACCTCAGTCAAAGAAACTTCCCTTTAAATGATAATTCTAAGTGCAAAATTGAAATTTTACTTACCTTAAAAAAATGCATCCATGCAATTTGGCACATTAGTAAGGCTATGGTTATCATTGTCCTCTTTCATACCTCTAAAGATCTGGACCCTGTTTCACAAAACTTGTCATCAGTGACAAATGACTGAAATCCTTGCTTCTTATTGGTTATCAGCAGATTTGTCACTGATTTTTGTCATTTGTCATTGAAAAAAGGCTTTGTGAAACAGGTCCCTGTTGAGCTACTGTAATAATAATAATAATAATAATAATAATAATAATAATAATAGCCTAATAGTCCACTCCAAATTTTATTAATCCGAAACGGAACTTCTTTTTGCCCAATTGATCGTGAGCCCGGCAGCCACTGAGCAGCGCCAGATCGACGTTGCTCTATCCCTTATTGTTGAACGCCAAACAAGGTAGCAACAACTCCCATCTTTTAACGTCTTTTGGTATGACGCGGCCAGGGTTCGAACCCACGACCTCCCTACTGACTGAGCCAACACTCTGGTATGCAATGTATTGTGTATGTAATTGTTTTAATTTGTATTTTGTCCTATCAGCTATCCTTGGCCTCCTTGAGAAGATGAACAGCAACTTGGAGATCTGCAGACGTTCCCTGCTCCAGCACCTTGAGAGACGGAGGCAGAGGTTCCCTAGATTCTACTTTCTATCCATGGAGGATGTGCTTCACATCGTCTGCAATGGTAAGTTACAGTGAAACCAGCTTGAGCAACTACTTATATAGAAAGACCACCTGTCTATACAAACCACTTTTAACACATCTCTTGAACAGTAATGTCATTGAATCATGTCCTAAAGGACCACCTGCCTAAACAGACCACTATTCTTGTTTCTTCTGAGCAGTCTTTGTATACAGGTTTTCTTATATTAAATCAATATAGGACATAAAGGTCAATGTGAAGGTCAATGTCATTGTTGAGGTGCAGTTTAAGTTAATTTCCTATCTTGCAAAAAGCCTTGAGAGAATTAGCCAGATGTTCACACGTTTCTTCTTTCTCTCTTATTATGTGATTGTGAGAACAATGCTACATAAGGCATAACATTTCTCCAAGTAGGTATCACAGCTAAAGTTTGAAAGTATCTACATTTCATTTCCCCTGCCAATTTCATTTTAGAGCATATGGAAAGAGGAGTTTTGATACCTCATTTGTCAAATTTGAATAAGTACTTTTGAAAATACGGCCACTTACATAAGAGACGAAATGGTCAAATTTTGCGTAATTAGGCTATAACTGACAATTAGCCATTTTCAAGGTGACATAATTTTGTAATTAATTATGGAATCACCTTTCTTTTCCAGAAATCTGTTCTCTGTATAGATTTCTACATGCCTATTTTTTTCCAGGTTCTTTAGACAAATATTTTTTTTTGTGGAATTTTTCAAATAATTAAATGAAGCCCATTTTGATGCGTGTGACAAAATGGCTATTTTTGCGTCGCCGGAACAAGTTTTCATGGGTTTTGAAACATGGCTAGATTTAAGAGTATCTACGAAGTGGGGCTGAATTTCGGCATATCTGGGGTATGTATATAGCTTAATCATTTCTGTAAGTTTGGACCATCAAATCTATTTAAATTAATTTTAAATGGCATTTGAAAAAGGCTCTAAACTCTTAAAACTTCATATTTTAAAGCACCCTTAAGCTTTTTTTTGTGTTTTCAAGTCTGCCTAAATTGAAAACCGTTAATGGTAGGGGAATGAATTTTGGCACATCATTAGAAAGTATGGCAGTGGCGGATCCAGGGGGGGGGGGGGCACAGGGGGCACGTACCCCCCCCCCCCTGGCCAAAAAAGTATGTTGAAATCAGCCCTAAATTCCCCCAAAATGTACTGAAAAACAGGGACGTGCCCCCCCCCCCCCCCCCAACGGAGAAAATTAAAAAATTAAAAAATTTCTTTACCCCCCCCCAAAAAAAGTGCCCTCTTATCCCCCCCCCCCCCCCCCCCCCCCCCCCCGCTTATTCAGCGGTTGGCTGAGTCGTTACGATTTTTTTTAGACCAAAAAAAATAAAAAATGTCCTCTTACCCCCCCCCCCCCCCCCCCCAAACACCCTCCCTCCCCCCTAGGCCTACCTAACTTTTTTACTATATAAACAAAAATAATAACAAATCCCTTTTAATTGAAATTCATAAATTTAATCCACGATCTTAAATTTGAAAACTCTGGGAAAACAATAAATGCCCGTTAAATCCTTGGCGTGGGTTCGCAATCACAACATGAGAATAGAGACACCAGTATGAGCGGTGCATGGCCGCCGAGCTATCACCGAGTGTGTGTGTGTGTGTCGTTGGGTTTTCATACAGACGTGCATCAATCAGATATGATTACTGAAAAGACACTGCCTGAATTTAATTGGAATTTAATAATTATTATCCAAAGATCAGAAAAGCCGTCATTACAGTTATTTGATATAGATTGAAACACACAAAATATTTTTTTTCTGACAAAATTTGATTAAATTTTCACTCTATAAATTGACAAAGATTATACAAGTTTGTTCTTGAATTTCTTAAAAAGTCACTTTGAAATTCGAATTTCACTCGCATGACGTGTGAGAAAAATTGCGAGTGGAAAAACACAAACATGTATTATTGGTCTTGTGATCGCTTTAAAATCTGTTTAGGTTACGATAGCATAATAATTCCGTCGAAATATATATGTATTTACTAATTTGTTCGCCAAATGCTGCAAATCCTGCCTCAGTTTCGATATTTGAAGCCTCAGATTCATGCTCCGTTTCGGATCTTGATGGGACGGCAAGGGGCGGGTGCGGTGATGCGACACGTGGCGCCATGTGGCCCGTCGGGTCCGCGTTCGAAGCTGGGGGCTTGCTCGCTGTAGTCACTCTCGATCAGTGCGTATTATACACAGAGTACAGCTGTACTAATCGGATTCGCGCTCTAAAGCCATTTAGCGGTCATTCTTAATATTTACATGATCGTATTTTCCAGTAAATTCTCTTTCTTCTCGTATCAAAATTGAAATAAAAGTATGTTTTTCTGATATAGAAAAATTGTTTCAAACTTTTCACTCTGATTTTTCACGATCTTTTTGAAACATACCCCCATCAGTTTTTATATGAAAATAAAGCTTAAGATGTGCTCTTTCCAACCAGTGGATTTTTAAAACTCAAAGACGAATGGCGTTCAAGCGAATTGAGCTAAAACTATGGAAACAAATCGGCCGTCAAAAAAATGGCGACAAACGAAGTGAGACCGTACGAATTAGAGGGTAAATCTCAAGCAACTGTGTCGTAAGTAATTAATGGATTTTGATGAAAATGACATGACATGAAAGACAGAATCCTGAGCTTTCGAGAGACATATAATTTTATAATATTTATTTTTTCCATGATATGAAAATCTTCCTTCACAAAGAGAGAATTTGCGTGGTTGAGCTCTGTGTGTCCCCACTCAACGCAGCTCTTCTGTGATACCTACTCCAAGTGGACTGTTTTCATAATACCGTATTTGCCGGCGTTAAAGGCTGCAGTATTTTTGGAAGAGAAAATATCAAAAAGTCGGGGTGCGGCCTTTACGGCGAAACAGTAAAAAAAAATAAAAAATCAAGTCAAAACCAGCACAAATTTGCACGTACGTATGACTACTCATGGTACAGTAACTATACCACTATGGTACAGGACATTTCAACACATCTTACCGACAATTTTATCTTGCATTGTTGACATGAATACGAAAATAAATTACGAAACCAACATTTGCCGATAGATCTTGATTTAAGTTTGTACCAATGCATTGCAAAAGTAAACAAAGGGACCATTTAACAAAGCTGCCGCGAAGCCATTTTGTTTTTCCATTTCATGCAGTTTCGCATTACACCGTACATTGTGGTAGGGGTATATCGGACACCAAATCTGCCCGCGATCACTTTTTGAGCTAAACTTCCGGTAAATTATAAGAATATTGATGAATTTGGTATCAGTTTGTAAACAGAAAATTATGATTATTTTGTTTTGTCCGTTGGGTTTTTTTTTCCTTTTTTTTTCTTCTTTTTTTTCCCTCTTTGAAATGTCAAAGTTGGGGTGTGGCCTATGCGGCGGTGCGGCCTTATAGCTGGCAAATACGGTAATTCTCTTTTTCCATCTTTACCCTGTTAGGCTATGACCTTAACCAGGTGAACCTGTACCTTCCTAAGCTGTTTGAGAACCTTGGTCGGTTGGAGTTTGAGAACAACGCGTCAGAGGCTGCAGAATGTAACTTCCAGGTGACGGGTCTGACAAGCATGCTGGGAGAAAAGCTACCCCTCAAACAGGTTAGTAGGAGGCTGCTCTACCCTTCGTGTCGTGGTTGAGTGGATATGTCACTGGACTGTGGATCACAAGGTCCGCGGTTCAAGTCCCGCCGCGGCAATAATGTCCTTTAATTGGCAAGACATTGATCTACATTTGACAGTCTCCACCCAGGTGATGTAAATGGGTACCCGGTAGGATGCAAAAGTTAATGTGGTTGGATTAGGAAGTGGTGCCTGTAAAATGGCGACTGGCTGGAATGCTCCCCAGGGAGTGGAAAATGTGCATACATTGTATTGCAGGTAAGCCTGAATCTGATGACCGGGGTAATAATATGTGCTGCGCCTAGAAACAAAGTATTAGGCGTATTATAAATGTGAGCTATTATTATTAGAATGATGGAGCCTGCTATAGGCTCTCACATAGTTTAAGTTTACTAGCATGGTTTTTACTTGCACTGGACATAGCATATATAACTGTAAATTAATAAGTGCTCTATCTACACATGCCATTTCTGCACTTTATGGCACTCCTTGCAGCTACTCGCTTCACCTACCATACCAGTATTGCTTCCTGTTAGCATTTACAAGTATATTTATGCATGTATATGTGTCACAGTCATTGGAATGTGAGGCAGTTCTTGATTATGAGTCATGGGATAATTGTGGAACATGTGGAACTGACCTACATGTATCTACAATGAAGTAAAATGTTCCATCTCTATGTCATGCATTACACATGTACATGTATCATGGTGCTGTACATGGCCGTCTCATAGAAATTGTTGTTGAGAACAAATTACAATAAATGTTATATTCTACTGAACTTGTGGCATTTGATTGGCTGAGAGCTAATGCTTCATAGAAAGTTACCGTTTATTATTGAGAGTTATGAAATATTATTGTTAACAGGTTTTATGAAACATAGCCTAGGTATGTTGAGGGGAATTTTTTTTCTCTCAAAGTTTTATGCAATACAGTGTCTGGATCAACCATCTTGGCATACATGCCAACTGTTCAGATTAAAAGAGGAACATTCCTCTTTTTGGGAGAAGATAATTATCATTTTAATGCAGGTGTTCCTCTTCCTGTACAAATTTGTCTGTAGTATTGAATAGGAGAGTTAGGATTGTTCCTCTTTTTTTAAAAAATAGCATAATTTGTACAGATTTCTGATTTTCAAATGTTGGCATGTATGTCTTGGGTGTTAAAGCATTTTTTTAGAAAAGAGTTACATACAGAGAAGTATTGTTCTTATAACTATGAGTCAAGAGAAAGTATTACATCATTATAATATAATATTTTGTTTCGTTTGGCAGGTTGTATCCTGTGAGGGCCCCATCGAAAACTGGCTTGGCAACCTCATCCCCATGATCAAGACCTCCCTGCAGCATCAACTGGCCTCAGCCCTGGCCCATGAGACCCTGGACCTACAGGCTTCCTTCCAGAGCTCTGGTCAGTCAGAGGGACTAGGACCAGGTCCTAGAAAGGAGAGGGATATCCACAGTGCTGGGGCTAGGAGGGTAACAGTAGGCAAAGAGGAACGCAAAGGTAAGGAATACGTAGAAAGATGGGGGTATGGGAGAGAAGGAGAATGGGAGAGAAGGGAAGAGGAAAGAAGGGGTGGGAAAGAGAGAGAGAGAGACAGAGAGAGAGAGAGAGAGATAGAGAGAGAAAGCAAGCAAGAGCTCTACCCATTTAGAGGGGCTAGGATCATGTCTTGGGAAGGAGAGGCCTGTCCACAGTGCTGAGGCTAGGAAGGTCACAGTAGGCAAAGATGAACACAAAAAGTAAGGAAGAGGAAGAAAGATGGGAGAAAAATAAAAAGGGGGTGGGGAGAGAGAGAGATCGCCTTGTGGACAAAATTTTTCACTAAGCAAAATCTGAATTTCAAATCTAGACTAAACTCTATACCTGACTTTAACCCTAACCCTCAACCTTACCCTTACCCTTAACCTAACCTCCATTGCAACCATAACTCTAACCTTAACCATAAATCTTTGACAAAATAAAGCCCTTAGTAATTGCCACCAGAGCACATGTTTGAACATCGTAAATTTGATTCCAATTTTGTCATGAATACAATTGATGGGATCATCACTTTATTTCTATTCTTGTGATTTAGGTGGTCCAGGCAGTCGTTCTGGAAGCCGAGCCGGGAGCAGGACCGGTCAGAGGACCAGTACCAACAAGCGGCCCAGTACCAGGGAGTCACAGCAGGAGGGACCCTTGGAGGTCATCAAAGACCCCCCGACCAAGTCCTGGATGCTGGAGCACGTGACGGAGGTGGTTTATCTCGCAATGCAGATCCAACTCGGAGACCAGGTGGAGAAAGGGTTGAAAGCAGTGGATGGCGGAGAGAAGGAATCATTGAAGGTAAGATTTTTTTGTTTTTCTCGCCTTCTAACCTATTTGTATAATATGTATATGTATGTTTTATATAACTTTGTATGTAAACCATGTTAATCTATAGTGTATGTTTCTTTGTAAAATTGTGATTGCTTTTATATATGCACGGCCATGCTGAAAAACAGCCTTTGGCTAAAGTATGCCACCGTGCTAAAATGAAATAAACAAACAAACAAACAAAATATTGATGAAAAAGTAGAGGATTAGAGAGGGAGGAGGGGAGAGAGTGAGAAGAGAAAACATGTGAGATTCCTAATTTGTACTGAGAATATTGTAAACAACTTTAAAGATAAAGTTGAGTTCTGGTCATGCGATTGCATTGTGAAAGAAACGTTGTGGAATCGATCAGAAAAGGTTGATCATCTAGCATATAAGTATTGGTGTGTACTGCAAGGTTCTGGAATCATCAAAATGATAAGAAATTTGGCCCAGTCTTAATTGGTAAAGTTACAAGCACTAATGTACAAAGAAAGACTACACAAACATATAGCATAAAATCTGTCCTGATTTGTATGATATTTCTTGCCATATTTAGAATATTAAAGCATTAGAAGAGCCATGCTTTTCAGGGAACATTTTGTCTCTGGTTTTCTTCAACACTTGCATAATACAATCATAATGCTCACAAATTATCTTTCACCTCTTCCCAGAACTCAACCTTCTCTTTAAGGTAAATATTTAATGGAATGGTTGAGGTGTCATTTGAATTGTTATTGTTGATGAATTTTCAGGATATGTTGGCCAAGGTGAACAGCAGTCTCCAATCAGCTGTGGTCATGCTGAAAGGCATTGAAGATGATAAAGAGAAGAAAGCAAGACTCAGAAAGGAGCTCAGAAAAGAAGGTAAGAAATAAACAGAAGTGAAAGAAGAAAAATAGAAAAGAAAATTAATGATTGTCTTTTTTTCTCTTCAGCTAATGACAGTAACAAGAATATGTTGATGGACTGTTTTTACAAGGAATTTTCTTTCAGTAAACTTAAATGAATAATTGGATGACTTGTTTTTTTAAAGCCATCTTTCAATGTTCTGATCATCTTTTTTGTTTCTCCAGCCAACAACAACGTGGAAGATTCGTTCGTTTGTATCAGTCTTTGGACTGTTTTTACAAGGAACGTTTCCATCAGTAAACTGAAATGAATGAATCAATAAATTGTCCTTTAAAGCTATGTCTCAATTTTCTGACAATCTCTGTGGGTTATTTTCTCTCCAGCTAATAACAATGTGGATAACTCTGCAGCTGACAACAGCACGGTGGTCTCACAGACAGGTAGACAGAGCTCTCATTCATACCGGGGTTCACAATGGAGTCTAAACGAGCTAGCGATCCCACAGCCTGCCACGCCCATACAGGAAGAGGGCAGCATACACTCGGTCATCAACGAGGAGGCCAGTGACGTCAGTAAGTATAGCAGAGAGATGAGAGAGAGAGAGGGAGATGAGAGACTTGCAGTTGTAAATGGGAAGGGGGAAATTGAGATCGGGAGAGAGATAGATAGAGAGAGAGAGAGACAGATATTAAGAGAGAGAGAGAGAGATAGAGAGAGATAGACAGAGCTCTCATACAGGAAGAGGGCAGCATACACTCGGTCATCAATGAGGAGGCCAGTGACGTCTGTTAGTATAGCCGAGAGAGGTGAGAGAGAGAGAGAGATATTAAGAGAGAGAGAGAGAGAGAGAGCTACAGGAAAGGGGAAGATTGAGAATGAGAGAGAGAGAGAGAGAAAGAGAGATAGACAGATATTAAGAGAGAGAGAGAGAGAGAGAGAGGAAGAGCTACAGGGAATCAAAATTGGAGCCTGAACGACCCAGCCATTCTGCAGCCAGCCAGTGACATCAGTAAATGTAGCGAAAGATTCAAGAGGGAGATAGATGCACATAGGTGGAAAGAGGAAGCGAGATAGAAGTAGGCAAGAAAGAGAGACAGAAAGACAGTGAATGGATCAAGGGAGGAGAGGAAAGTGAGAAAAGTTGATAAAATGAAAGAGAACAAGAGAATACCAGAGTTTTATAATATAATTTTTCACGGGAATCTGATGAGAAGCAAGAAATGACCCCTCAAATAAACTCTGTACCACCTCATAATATTCTAGTTATATTATGTCTTTGCATATTCTGCTTAAAACCTACTTCCATTATTGATACTTTATATTTTATAATCTTTCTTTCACGAATGGTAAGACATACATGTACATGTACACAAGATATACCTCTCTGTTCTGTAACAGATTGTAACTCTTGTATTGCATCTTTTCCTCTATTAGCTGGCGAAATAAAGAGCCAACCCGTGGACACCATGAAAGTGGACACCATGAAGGTAGACACCATGAAGGTCGTCCTCCCTCCCGAGAGGCCAAAGGTCAAGGTTGTAATCGAGGAGCAGGTCGATCGGACCGAGCTGAAGCTTCTTCTCTTCCCTGCTCAGATACAGAAGATCAGCAACCTGATATCCCTCATGGCCCATCAGAGGGACATCATTAACAGGTAAGGAGAACACCCCTGTTTATCAGAGTGGAATGTTCTCAGGATATATCATGGAATGTTATTATGGGTCAACCATTATGAAAAGAGGTTAGAGACATTGATTTTCTTTTTCAAATTTTGGGGTTTTGGGTTCAGAGGACGGTCATCATTATCAAGTAAGGGGAACACCCCTATTTATCAGAGTGGAATGTTCCCAGGATATATCATGGAATGTTATTCTGGAATCAACCATTGAGGATAAAGGTTGACTTTCTCACTTTTTCTCCAATAGGGCCATTTGCACTTGTTAAAATCCCAATTAGAATACTCATGGTATTTCACCTCAGGATTCACACTGACTTTCAAACTTTGCCGAGTTAGAGATTGTAAATGTTTGTTATTGTGATTTTTATCAAATGCGCAAATAAAATGAATTGAATTGAATTGAATTCGCTTGTGCACATTTTGTTCCCAGCATGCTGTGCGATCTGATACCACATGAACCCAGAATTGTTTCATCTTATTTTTGACCCAATGATGGACGTTCTGCTCCTGTTATTCCCTCACCAATATTTATACTACAGTACTTCATTCACTAGTTATCAGCTTGGAATAACAACAATTCAGATCACATTAAGCAATTTACTTTCAAAAGTAACGCGCAATTAACGCATCACATTAAATGCGCACTAATATTAGAAAACCATATGCCTTCCAAACAATTTGCTTAAGTCTGGTAGGGAGCTGTCTTAAATTTAGGGTAAAATACTTAGCCAAAAGCTTGAACTGAATACTGAAGTTGGGTAAATGCTTTATCTGAGCCGAAACTAAGGAATATACTCATATTTATATCTTAAGTATTGCATCGAATACGCCCAGATTTGTAAGTGAAAGCATAAAAAAAATCAGACAAGGAATGAGAAAGATATGTACTTTTGACAGTTGAAATTGATAAAAACTTGGGGAATATCTGATTGGCAATGTGGCCATGATATGTTAAGACATATACATGGAGAATTTCCCCATTTGTTTCATGTGTGCTCATTTTATTCAATGTATCCCTGTTCTTAATCCTTACGATGAGGTAGATAATTGTTTCACAGGAGGGCACGATGAGTGTATTATTCATGATGTTATATGGGCAGAGAGGAAAAGGGGATATGTTGACTATATAGTAAACATGAAATGAGATGATTATCTTTGTATGAAAACAAAGTATTGGAGATTCCCAATGTTGTTAGTGAGCCCAACCTGAAAAAACCTTTCTTATTCCTTTGATATATTTTACTGATCTGTTTCTTTCTTTTGTTCTGCTTCTACTCATGCCAACTCTCTTTGAAATGCTTAGTCTTCTTTAAAGGTATGTTGTGCTAGAGTAATGATAACTTAAATTTCTTCATGAGGATTTTGCCAGATTAAAAAAAATCTTCATTTCCAGTTCTACATTCTATTCTGAAATCCCATGTTTTCACTGGTGACTGTAGGATGAGTTGGGCACAAGGTGGCGCTCTTTCAATATAGACTTTGAGGACCTTGAGTGATATTGCATGTAAAATGTTGAGCAATATACATACATAGAATCAATAGGTCAAAGTTGCACAAACTTTGTGTGTGATCTAGAGAAAACATCTTTATAACTTTATGATGGAAATGACAGAATAATTATGTGATGAATCACCAATGTATAACAACATTAATTTCAAAGGAGAACAAAAAGTATATTTTCAATCAACTTTCACTACACATACCATTCATGCCTGAGCGAGCATACAGTAAAAGAGTTTCTGATAGAAAAGTGCAAAAATTCTGTGAACTCCATTCACCTCTTTGTTTTTATTCTTTGTTTTTGTTATTGATCAAGGATGTACATCTTACAGATGCACATGTTCATTAACATTTGAATGCCTGCTTGCCTAATTCTTGTACCTCATTCATACCAACAAGACTGACACCAGACCACCACCAGACCGACACCGGACCGACACCATTCCAACAACAAACAAACACCAGACCAAACAAAACATTACATTACCCCACATTGCCAAGAATCAGTCGGCATAGAGTTGGGATGAAGTCGGTTTAGTTGTGATCGAGGTATGAATCACACCTTTGAACGGTTTAAAGATGTGCCCATCTCAGCGTGAAAGTTCAAAATTTGATATGAATTCATGTTGGTAGAGTATTAATTTTTCTTTAATTTGAGATATATTTCATTGATGGATTATATGAAGATTTTCAACATTAGCGATTTTCCACATCTTTTCATTTTCAATGAGTGAACACGTTCATGTTACTATTAATTGTACATGTATGTGCAGGTATGGGATAAAAAAATTGCCAGGACATGAAGCAACTATGAAACTTTGCAAACTAAGCAGGGATTGTGACATGATCGGGAAGGTATGATAATGCAAGTCGTCACTCTCTGTCGCTCTTTGTGATGCAAAAGATGCAAATTATCATGGTCTTGAGTAGTTGATCAAACGATCGTGCATTTAATTTTGAATTACAAAGTACTGTACACACACATTAAATGAATAGAGCTTAATGAAAATATCATGTACATAATGAAGCCGTTCGAATGTTCTTTACTTTTACATTTGTCAAGGAGAGTGAAACTTTCCTATGAAAATTTTAGCCCCCATATAATTTTCTTTATCACAAACACATTTTCATTCAGTGGTTACACAGTCTCTGATTGATTGAATAATTAAAAGCTCACAAAATGAACAATTGAAATATTTCAAAGCAAACTGTAAGAAGGCCGAATGTTACATTGTAGTCACACATATTAACAAAAATAAAGCATCTCATTTTGTTGTTTCATATATCTGAACATCAATCTTGCTTTTTAAAACCGTTTTCTACAATACAACCCAGCAATTATGTCATGCACAAGCTTCCGTCGTAACATGTAAAAAACTAGTTTATTTATAATGGTGTTGCTCTGTGATATTCTTTTCATTCCATTTTAGTTGTTGTTATTTCATAACACAGTTTGAGCAAAAAAAGAAAAATAACATGAAGGTTTTTTTCTTACTGCCATAACAGTAAATGCAGAATACATGTACATGTCGTTGTACAAAAGCATGAAATTTGATCCATTAAATGGTTCAAGATCAACTACATGTGGAAGCATTTCATAACTTAAATCTTTAAACATATTTCCATGTACATATTACTTGTAACCACAGATTTATTTTGACAAATATAGCTGACATAGTTTTAGTACTTGTACTAGTAGTTACATATATTTCAAGTACGATATTATTCACATTCTTACCAACCAGTGTCGATAATGTGAAAAAACGGAACTGACCAAAATTTGTCTATAAAAGTCACAAAATGTTCATGTAATTATCCTACTGCACCATGTACATTGAAGATTATTAATTAAAAAAATTAAAACTTCATACAGGTCTTACAGCATTTTTCATTCTGTAAAAAAAACATTCTTTTACTTCATATTGAACATTGAAAATGAAGACTTGTTTTTTACATTTGCAAGGCACTTTTACTGAGACTGATCGATGCCACTCAAACAGTAAAATTATGCACTAATTAAAAATTAGTCGGTTTAGTTGTGACAGAATGAATGAATCACACCTTTGAACGGTACAAAATGAATGTGCCCATCTCAGCATGAAAGTTCAAAACTTTGTTCTGAATTCATGTTGGAAGAGTATTAATTTTTCTTTAATTTTAAGATATATTTCATTGATGGATTATAAGAACATTTTAAACATTAGCGATTTTCCACATCTTTTTATTTTCAATGAGTGAACACATTCATGTTACTATTAATTGTACATGTATGTGCAGGTATGGGAATTTTGTTTTCCTCCTCCAGGACATTAACAGCCTGAAAGCAAGTTATGAAAACTTTGCAAACTACTGGTAGGCAGGGATTTTGACATGATTGGGAAGGTGTGATAATGCAAGTCGTCACTCTCGCTCTTTGTGATGCAAAAGATGCAAATTATCATGGTCTCAATTAGTTGATCAAACAATAGTGCATTTAATTTGTTAATTACATACCGTACATGTACATAATGAAGCCGTTGGAATGTTAATTACTTTTACATTTGTGAAACATTCCTATGATTTTTTTTTAGCCCCCCTTCCCCCAATGTTTTCTTTATCACAAACAACACACATTTTCATTTAGTGGTTACACACTACACAGTGTCTGATTAATTGAATAAATGCTCACTAAATGAACAATTGAGATATTTCTATGGAAACTGTAAGAAGGCGGAATGTTACATTGTAGTCACACAAATTAACAAAAATAAAGCATCTCATTTAGTCATTCCATATATGTACATCAATCTTGCTTTTTAAAACCCTTTGCTACAATACAACCCAGCAATGTCATGCACAAGGTTCCTTTGTGACATGTAAAAAAATAGGCTATTTATTATGGTGTTGCTCTGTGATATTCTTTTCATTCCATTTTAGTTGTTGTTATTTCATAACACAGTTTGAGCAAAAAAAGAAAAATAACATGAAGGTTTTTTTTTATTACTGCCATGTAACAGTAAATGCAGAATACATGTTCATGTAGCTGTACAAAAGCATCAAATTTGATCCATTAAATGGTTCAAGATCAACTACATGTGGAAGCATTTCATAACTTAAAGCTTTAAACATATTTACATGTACATATAACTTGTAACCACAGATTTATTTTGACAAATATTGCTGACATAGTGTTAGTACTTCTACGGGTAGTTCAAGTACGATATTATTCAAGTAGCCACTATACAGGGCGTATCATAATAAAGGATATTGAAGTTTAATGACGATTTATATGAAAACTACTGATTTCATAATCAAGCATTTTATGTCTGTTGTAAAGGACAGAATGTCCTCTTTTTAATGACACCCCAATCATAATACTACTGTCACAGTTGACTGAATAACAAAGCATTGCTGTCCACCATGTGAAAGGTGCACTGTGACAAGTTAGCATTCACAGATAAATTCTAAAGATTAGTGCTTGTGTCAGCCCAGACATA